CAGAAATGTTTCTATCACCACTGTGAGTGTTTGTGCTTGTTTTTAATAACATAAGATTAACATTATCATGCAAAAATCAAAACTGTATATTACACAGAGAACCCTTGATACCGAGGGAGTGAAGGAGGCCAAAACACCATATTGTCCAAACTGTTGAATATAAAAAAGAATGAAGAGCAAATACCTCAAAACTACTTATCAGGAAACTTTTGAGCTGAAATTACAGTAATAAAAAAAAGCGTTTCAGTGGGACAGCAGGAGCAGAAGGCAACAGTGTGGTAGAGGTATTGCATCCATGAACCCTGCATTCACTAGAGTAGCTTTGTTACTGTTTCTGAATAAGGGGAAAGCAGTGTCAATTTTTACTGAGCCAGATTGTGCTGCTCAGGGCCTTGAGATAGGAGATCTGTGGTGTGATCACAGAGATTTTCCTTTGAAGTTTCTTTGGGATAGGAATATAATAATTTCATCAGATGCTTTTCTCTGATCTTGCATCTCACTTGCTGTACGTGTTTGGGACTAACCTATATTTGGGGAAACAGGGTGTGTGTCCACTCCACTCCAGGAGTCTCCTGATAATGGAGGGAACAGAGTCCCCAGCACGTGGGCTGCCATGTGCTGGTTTCTCATCAAGTTCTGGTTTAGCTCAACGCTGCTTGACTCTTTGTATTTTATTCCCTTCCTCCACCTGAAGTTACCCCTGCACACTACCTCAGCTGACTTATGCAGATAAGGTAGATTTGGCAGAGAAATGCATTAATCTTTTAGGATATGACTGATTTAACTTGCTTTCAGTGTTTCACAGTACTGAAGGAGCTTTTGAATTACTAATAAAAGCATTACTATAAAGGCACAAACTTCAGACTTACCTTTTTTGTAAAGTTCTGATAATCACATAGGTTGACTGAGGAGTTAAGCATTTTGCACAGTGCAAGGTTCAAGGTGGTTTTTTTATTGAAGAAGTCTGTAAAACCCAATGACAATTCATAAAGCTTAGGCACTGCAAACTTACAGTAAGAAAACAGTCAACATCGTGCACACAGTGAAGTAAAATTATGCATAAATAAAGTAACTGCCACGCTCAAAAAGTCTTCCATCCCCTTCCTTTTGACCACAGAAAACGTAATTCTTTTATTTTGAAAAGGAGGGGCAGGGAACGAAGATTTCATAAATAAAACCACAAGGAGAACCATATGATTATCCTTGCAAAACCTGCTGCCAACAAGCAAAAAAAGGAAAGAACCTTGTAAACCCAAGGGGAAAATGGCCTAAATTTGGAAACATTTCAGATCTTAGTTTTTTAGATTTGTTTTCTTTAGTCAAAAGAAGACAGAGCTATGTGTGGGGAAGGAGAGGTTTCATGCTGAAGGTTGTCTGAGCGTATAATTGTTTCTAGAGAAGTGGTATTCAAATAAAAACCTGCCAACTCAAGTCTGGAGGAACTTGGCAGAAACAGCCAGAGCCTTCATCATACAGGGCTTTAAGGTCTATTTGAGGAATACAATATTAATTAGAAATTGTACAATAAGCTAGTGAGAATGATGAATAATCTTTTCAGAGTAGCTCATGATCCTGCCATGGAAGCACCTAGCTAATTTTAAGTTGTAACCAGTAGTTATTCTCAACTGGGGGGAAATAAACCCTGGTAATGTCTTTTATCTCCTGCTGTGGCCCAGGTACATAGTGTTGTTAGGAATATGTAATAGAGTCATTAATGGGGCAGCCTGTGGATCTGTTACAATAATTTTTATACCAAATGCAGCACAGGCTTTTCCTGTACAGGATGCCATAAAATCAGCAAGAGATTTAATCAGCAATGTTAATGGATCCAGAGTATCTTCCTGGAATTATCCTTTGCTGGTTTTTCATTTTTGGGTCTTCCTTCAGCACTGTATGTCTTCATTACTGGCACTGCTTTGTGTAATCTAGTAGGTGGATAATTTTTTACATTAGATGCTCTTGGAGAAATTAATTTATCTGTGTAGATCGCAGCTGATCAACTTTTACAGTCCAGCTGTCATACTGAGAGGACTATGAGCAGCTTCTGCTACTTGTAGTTATGGACAGGGCCAGTACTGCTGATGTGCCAGCAAAGCAGTTTGGGAGCATACACTGTTTTATTTTGGGCAAAATCAGCCAGATGAGCTCACTCCACGGATTAAATTGTTAATGCCAACTCTCCTCGTTTTCCATGGCAATAAAGAGAGATTTTTACAAAGAACGTGTAGAGTGTCAGTTCCTCCCAAAGGCATGGGAACTAACAAAAAGCAGTAGTTTGGCTGATGGGTTGAAGCCTGTTTTGCAGAGAATCCTTGCTGGGAAGAATTACTTGCTTGTCTCTCTTGCCTGTGTGCTTCTCACATTTGCAGCAGTTATTGCCTCAGTTCCCCTGCCTGTCAGCTGGTCTCGTTTGACTTTCGTTCTGGTTTGCAGGATTCTGATGTGCTCCAATTACTGCCACATGCAGTAATTCTTGTTGTCTCAGCTCTGTAATTACAGGGATATTTGGCTTCTGCCTGGTTTGTGCTGAAGGAAAGGTGGTGATGCTGCTGCTCACTGCAGACAGGTCTGTAGATCAGAGATACGCTGGCAGCTGCCAGCACCTCCTCCATTAGTGGGATCCAGCGATAGATGAACTTCACGCGTCACGGGCTGGCATCCAGACTGCTCGTTTGTAGGACGCTGCCGGTGAGCTGGTGATGCTCCCAACTCCCGTGGTATCACCCGTAGTGTCCAATCGGGAGTGCGGTGCCGCAGCAGGCGCTGCCCTGCGCTCGCAGCGGGACTGCCACTCACAGCTGGCTCAGTGGCACCGGGTGCTGCTGGATGTTCGTGCCTGAACGCTGAGTGGGCTTGCAATGACTATGTCAGAAAACACAAGAGACTCAGCAGAAAGGTAAGGAGCAGCACACAGCATTTTCCATTTGGCTTAGAGGCAGTTCTGATCCTGCTGTTGGAGGCAGGAGAGAATCTGCAGCCCACCGAAGCATGACTAATCAATTTGCTAAAATGCTGAGCACTCTCGAGTTTAAAGTATTTCTTCCCTGTTGCTAACAGTGACAGATGACGATTTTTGTAGCATTTAAGTAAGGTGTGTATTGTGTTCAGGTCTAAAGCCCTTGACTTGGGAGCTACAGCCGATGGCAGGTTTCCTTGGAGCATGAGGGAAACGTGCAGCTTGTGTTTTTGCTGCTGCTGTGGGTGGCACTGTGTTGTTAATTCTTATTCCAAAAAAGATGCCAAGTAATGAATATCTTATTTGTGCTTTGAGCTTCAACAGTGATTTGTTTCTTTGTCATCCTCCTGTTTCAAAGGAATATTTTGAAAAGGTTTATTGGTATTGAATGGGGTAATTCTCCTGCATGACAAGAAACAAGCAAACAAAAAACCCAGGTAAAATGTTACTAGTCTAAATATTTTAAAGCAGATGAGAATGTGTTTTATATCATGTTAAATATGCTATTTGGTTCAGGGACACAGATTTAACAAAAGAAGATGGGAGTTTTAGTACATGTAAGCAATAATTGATAAAGTTTTAATTATTAAGTAGGGCTCAGAATAGTTGGGCGGACATGATGTTGCATATTGTATGAGATGGATGCCAAGACTTGGTTAATCAATATTTGCAAAGCGCTTGAAGAGCGTCCTGGGTACAGAAGGATTTGCATTTTATCTGAAATGTGATGACAACAGGCACTATGAACAAAGTCACATAATGTTTCTCTCAATTTTACAGTCCAGTTTTTCATATATACAATTATGCTCTTTATTTCTTTGCGGTCATTATTCTTAAAACCAAAACCAAACCACTGCTGCAGTGGGTGGTTATTACTGATGTTATCTGCTAGTTCTGTGCTCCCCTGCCTTTTCCTTAAGATGATATCAGGACTTTGCTTTCTGTTTTTCCTTTCAGCAGTCCATGTTGTGCCATTTTTAAGGAACTAACACAGTTTCCAAGTCACAAGATAGATCACATTAGTTAGAGCTGTTTGGAGTCAGGAACACGATGGTGATTTGTTTGTATTTTGTTGGAGGCTGTTTTTGTACAGACTTGTATACAACATATTAGTGCAGTATAGCTCTTTGATCATTAAATGCAGATGTTTTAACTGTCCTAATACTGGCCAGGTGACCTTAACTTTGTCAGTGCAAGGCCTTATTGTTTCTTCTGTGGATTTTTTTTGTCCAGCAGTTCTGGTGGTGATGAACTTGGGCCAAACTAACTCAGCTGGTCTGTATTATCCTGTTGCCAGTAACCTAAAGACCAGCTGAGAACCCTTGTGACGGGTCAGGCTGACATCTGAATGTTGTAAAGGAGAAAAGTACAGCCAGACTAAGGCACTGAGACTCTTCTGACTCTGAAATGCAGCAGCAGCTTTCTTTTCTTTGACTGTGGTGGCACTTTGTAGGGACGTTGATGTTTCCAGGGGCAAGCACAATGTGAGATTTTAACCCACCTGTGAGTTTGTAGCGGTCAATTGCACAGGAACATCCTGCACATGAGCTGAGCTAATGCAGATGTTCCAGCAGCAGTTGGTGTAATAATCTGTTGCAGACTGACAGTGTCTCATCCTTAAAGTGACAGCATGATCATAATGTCAGCAGCCTGTGGTCTGTAAGCCTTACAGTCAGATGTGCATCATCACCCAGTGCTCCTGTGTTCTGGTACCTGAGCTCATCAAGTTGCTCTGCTCCCACATGGCAAATCCTGCATGTCCAGGTTCTTATGTAAAGTAGGTGCAGTTTTATCTTACTTTCAGAAAATAGAAAACTTAAAATTGCTTTTCACATGTTAGCTGGTAAGAGCATAGTTTTTAAAAAAAAAACCCAAATTCACAAACATAGTGGAATTCACTCGCATTTTTGGCTGTCACTAGAAATGGAATAGCAGATTATGCATGGGAATAAGGCTGGAACTGAAGAAGGGGGGTTTCAAATGTAGCAGTAATGCACTGGTAGAAGGAGAACAGATGTGCTGAGTTTGTTATCTCTTCTGGCAGGTCACCTACATCAGACCTCAACGTGGCACTGCGTGAATGTATGGCAGCTCTGGATTTATTTCTTAACAACAAGTTCTCAGATGCTTTGGCTTCTTTACAAGCAAAGTAAGTTGATAAGTTTTACTAGTTTTCCTCTGTTTATTTTTCTTTGCTTCACCATCTCTCCGGAGATTTTGACTAGACAGCTGATTCTCTGTTAATAATTGATAAGTCTTTATGGTTTTGGTTCAGAAGGGGATGGTAAGTTGATGTGTTAAGTTTGGGCTAGACAGATAAGTGCTTTACACTTGGGTGGGTAAATAACAAGACTGATCAAAAGCGTCTGCCAGAAGTAAGGAATTGATATCCAGAGAAGTAACCCCTCAGCTATAGTGCAGTATGTGAGATTCTTGCTCCTTCAAGAATAAAAACCATCCTCTGTCACCTTTTAATTTTGCCTCCTTTCCCATATTTTTCTGCATATTCTGAGAATTTGAAAATTTATAGCTTTGTGTCTAAGTAAACTGACCATGAATTGAAGATTTGAGACACATTAGGTATGAATTCTTATTTTTGGTCATTGTTTTTTAATAACCATTTGCAGAAACCTTCTCACAGCTTATTTTGCAATTCAGTGTTGTGGTCATGCGCCCTGTTTCCTAATTATGTTGCAGCCCTACATTTAATGAGTGGCCCAGCTGCAAGCAGTGAGATCATAAAATAGTTTCTGAAATCTGTTGTCTCACCAATGTCTGTGATCTGTCATACCCTGTCCTGACGTTACCTGTGCTCTTGGCTTGTTGCAGTCTGTGGTCAATTTAAATTTCCCTCCACCCATCCACCCTATTTGCTCCATTTATTTCTGTGCCATCAGCAAATTACATCATGCCTTCTTTTAGGACACTGGAATATGAAACAAGTAAAATTTGTGGGTAATTGCTATGTGTCTGGGTAACTACAGTGAATACCACATATCTGCTTTGCTGAGGTATCAGCCTCATATTTGATGCCATAATCTGTAGCTTAACCATGTAAGGACGTTCTGGGAAAGACATTCATGATAAATTGTAGTGTCAGCTGTATTAATAATGCTGGCTTTATTCACAGTGTTATTTAGTGTTTATATATCATCAGAAGATATAATAAAAGCAGTAAGAAGAAAAACTGTGTTTTCGTTAAATTCTGGCAGTAAAGCCCCTGTGCCCATCTGGAAATGCTTAGTCAGTGCTTAGCATAAAATAAGGAGATATTTTATTGAAGGGGGTTTCCAAAACACTGCAAAAGTTAGTGAGGCTGTGGCTCATTTTTTTTCTGTAAATCCATTTTTCTTCTGTTGCATATGGTTTTCATTCAGCTCTAGCTGGGCTCTGCAGAGTGTAGTTCATGAGCTGATACTCTGTTTTTGTGCCTGACTGTATTCCACACTGCAGACCCATTTTGAAAATAATTTTTCATGTTAGCCTGTTGTTATGAGGAGGGCCTTATTCCTGTTGCCTCTGTCAGTGAGGGAAATACAAACTTGTGATCTTTGTGAGTGCAGTGAAGAAACAGGATGCTAAATTTCCCCACAGATGATATCCATTGTGGACACAGTCCACCTCTTTAAGGAATGAGAAGAGTTGTAGAGAGGGCACACATGGTAGTACTGTGGGTTTTCTTTAGGAGCCATCAGTTCTTTGGTGTTCTCTTTTAGCGTGCTGAGATCTGAAATTGGTTTCCACAGTCCATAAACATACTATCTTTGTTTAGAGAAATGCTTTTCAGGTTTTATATGCTTGTGAAGAATTTCATATCGTAGATTTTTGCAGCTTTAACGCGGTGCAGGAGATACTCTACTCTGTATTACATTAGTGCAGATTCATTAAATTACTCACATTTGGCTTCCACAATAAGTGTATTTTCAACTAATTCGTACCATGTGCAGCTAACAGCAGATTTGGCAATGTATGAGAGAATCGGAAGAGTTTTCCTAGCAGCTTAAAAATAAATATCTGGGGATGGTGTCTAGACTTGTGTCGAGGTAAAGCTCTTTTTTTCCTGTTAGAAAAGCAAATCCATCATAATGAAGAGATCCAATTTCATAGAAAAATACATCTGGTGTTTTAGTTTCGTGTTATATAACCTTTCTTGTTTCCTGAGCTACCTTTTAGCTTTTAGAGTCAATATTCTTTATTATCATTAGCAATCTTTGTACCATAGTGGGTTCTGATTATCTTGTGCTTTCTGTAGTAAGATTAAATTAATCTTTTATATGGAGTTTTTACACTATATCTAAGAACTCTTAAGAAATTCCTTAAATTCAGTCACCAAGCAGTGATTTTCAATATATGATGTATTAACTGTAACCATGAGTAACACTGGAACTGTCAGTCACTGGAGTGGGGAAAAAAATCCCATCATCCTTCTCAACCCTAAGACACAGTAAATTGATTAAATGTTGACTGGATTTTAGCCCTCGTGTCGTTGCAAACAGATAATAAATTAAAGAGTTGATTCTGGTGAGGTGTCCCCTTCCCTTCCCAGGACAAATGCTTAATATTTTAATCATTATCTTAAAGGGAAGCAGGGCATAATCACCTGATGGTTTGGTGGTGTCAAATCAAATTGGGAGAATGGTAAATAAGATAAATTCATGACAGAATTATCGGGACCATCGGGTGAGCTGCGCCACGTGTGTTGCTGCTTGCAGTATTATAGGAACAATATGACAAGGATTCATTCCAGGCAGTTGACTTTATTCTGAAAATAGGCTCCAAAAAGCACTTGATGTTGTTTGGTGAAGTATTAATTCTAGAACGACTGTGTTTGAAAGGTAAATTCAGTCATCTGATGTGGGAGTATCTCAGGTAGGTGTGAAGAGATTGTGTTACTGCTTAGGTAGTTATGAAAATCTTGGTGGAATAGTAGAGCTCTCTTACTATCTGTTACTATCATTGAAATCTTTAGATATATGCCCATTTTACAATATTAAATGTTATCTTGTATATTCTGATCTTTAAAAAATTTAAAGAGGTTACTAAGGAATGGCAGCCTTTTGTAATTGTTGTCTTCATGGGGTGGTGAAATGTTCTTGCCCTTATAGAACAAAATCAAACATGAGATTGTTCAGTAGGGTGGAGGAGCTTTCTCTGGGAACTGATCTCACAAAGATAGGGTGTGATTATCTAACTGAGAGTGATGAAAGAATAAGGGGAAGCACACAGAGGTAAAATGAAGCCCTACACAGTGTTTGGATAAATATGTTGCACAGCTCTGCAGAAAGCTTGAGTTAGCTATTTACTGTGAAGAATGTCAAGAACATGAAAAAGGTAGTTTTTTCTAGGGTTTTCTATCTTTTTATACCTGGAGTCTGGAAGAACACCAGTTTTATAGTTAATAAATTAATTGCTGCCAAAACCTGACTTAATTGTCGGTTTCTCCTCTTAGCTGGAAGAACTTACTAGATTCCAAATTTTGGAAAATGGCTTAGACAAAAAAGATTTTGGGCACTCTTGTTTTTCACAAAAGATTAGTAGTCCCAGGTTAATTCTGAGGTCAGCTTTTTGACTTCAGCTGGGGGGCCATCACTGTCCTCACTTAAGCACTTGTTTTCAAGCAGGAATAAAAGTGTTCTCCAACCAGCTCCAAGAAAGGGCAGTGCTGCACCAAAGTTGGAGAAGAAGCATGTGGCAGAACTCCATAAGTGCTTAAAAATATTACTTATAATCCTCTTATTCAGTCATGTGATACCAACTACTGGGATAAGTTATTAATCATAATTTTAGTTGTATTAATGTCATACAGGCTTGTTAATTCCAGCAATGTCCTGAGGAAAGTGCTGCTGAGGAATCAAAAGAAGGAAAATTAAAAGCTATCAAGTTTCATTCTGTATCCATCCATATAAAACCCAGGCCTTAAAACTCCTGGCAATACACCAGGATGTAACTGGCAACTTTAATTGTATGATTAGGAGAAATAACATAGATAAGTTATGTTTGGTTGCATTTCTACCAGCATCCCAACCCCTGGAAAATAAAAATTTGAATGTTGATAAATACTAGTTGGCTAATGATAGACATTAATTACTATCTCCTTCAAATATTAGAAGCAACATAGATGAAACCATTGATTAGGGAAGGGGTGATTTGGTATCAGAAACAAATTACTGGATAGAGAAATCTTCACCACATAAATGTGAATAGTACCAATTTACCTTTTAGTGCATTTAGTGAATTTAATATTTATTTGCTTTGATTTTGAAAGAAAATTTCTGTAATTTTGGAAGGGTACTATTTCAGTCCCTTCCTTGTGCTTTGAATTTAAACCTCTGGAAGGGTTTTAGTTTAGTGAATACAAGGTGAAGTGTGTTTTTCTTCACTGAGGCTGATGAATAATCAAATGAACAGCAACACTTCATCAGGCTGGCATTTTGTAGTAGGTTCATTTTTTTTTTCCTACTTTTCATTATCAGTGTACTGAAAGAATCATGATGTGTGAGGCCAAGACAGAGCTGTCCTGACTCCACTGGATTTTAAACTAATTTCTCTGTCATCTCTCTGTTCTTCTTACCTTGCAAATGAGATGGATGTGAGCCTGGCATGGGGTTTATAGCACTTATGGCACTAGGTGATTTCTCAAAATGGCTCTTCTGCTAGATTGGTTTAGATGGTGAGGGCCAGTAGGAATTAAGGGCAGCCACAGAGCACAGACTGCAGTGAAGTTTAAAGATGTGCACTCTAAAAAATTCTTCAGTGCAGCCAGCCTGGTCTGTGCCATGTGTATTGGAAAAAGTAGCCCTTGATGGTATGAAGCAAAGGAAGTATCAGGTACCTGTGTAATGCTGTCTGCTGAGTATTATTTTAACCCCTAGATCTCAAAAAATATATATACAAAGGAAGTCAGGATTTATCATCACTTGTACTTTTCTTTGGTGATTTTATTGCTTAATGTCAATGAGAGGGGGTTGCTTTAGTTGTAGACAAGGTTTATTTTTTAGTTCTGGAAAATCCTAATCAAACATCAGGGACTCCTAAGGATACTTAAGGGTGTTGTACTCCATTGAGGAAACTAATTAAGGCATAATAATATATGAATTATTAGAAAACTTTGAGGCATCCAAGTCACGATGGTGAGTTACTAGCTCATGACTTAATGTAGGGTTGTCTGAAGTTATCCTTAAAGATGTCTTTCCATGCAGTTCAGTTATTAAAACTTAGGGGGGCAAGTGCTTTTCCAGGGGTGGAATTAAATGGATTGAGATATCTTTAAAGTCTGGCTTTTCTCCTTAAAACAAAACCACAGAATCAGAGTAGCTGAGGTTGGAAGGGACCTCAGGACCCCCTCTCTCATCTGCTGACAGCAACACTCCTCTCAGTGCAGCCCTGTTTTTGCCAAGGACACATTGCTGGCTCACCACTTTCTCCTTGAAAGGAAAAGAAAATGGAGTTGCTCGTTTTGAGAAACACCTGAAGTAGATGTATTGAGAACAGGTGTGCTGAGGGTGGAGATTTTGTGGAAAGGATATCCTTGTTTGACTGCAAGTATTTTTGAGTATTCCCTGCCACTCTGAGCTATCTGATCCGTTCTAGAGTGTAAACAATTAAAATAGCAGTTGTTGCTCCTTAGCAGTGTTTGTCTTAAGTCATGCTGTTTGTCAGGGGTGGATTAGCAAGGCCTACAGAGAGTTTCTGTGTCAGGAATTTATCTGAGCTTGCCCTTCAACATATTTCTAAAGTCATCTTTATTACATCTCAGTGCCCAAAGACATTTTGATTCATTTGCAGAGGATTATACCAGACATAGGTACTGGCTGAATGCTTTAAATATGTGCAAAGTATAAACCCTCTGCCCTGTCAGAGGAAAGATGCCAGCAATGGCTGCACATAAGAATTGTTTTACTTGCACTAATGCCAAAGTTTTTTACTTTCTGCAAAAGAGGCACTATCTGAAACCCCAAAGAATAATATTTAAGTTGAACAGATTGGGATGGAAGGTTGGCAGAGGGGGAGAAGAGAAAAAAACTATAATATTTGACATAGACTCTAATGCGTCTGGTGGGAAGATCTGTTTCAAGAAGATTCTGTTTTGGCCATGGTTATAGTATTGTGTTACTTATCTCCTTGAGTCTGTCTTGAGTGACTCTCCCAAAATAGAAGAATAGCATCTGGATTTGTGTCATGTGTTGCAGTATTCATTAGATATTCCATTAAAAAAACCCTCTGTTGTCTCTGAATGGTGAGCCATGCGGTTAATTCCTGTGCTTTGCTTGTTAAATACCTACCCTCAGCTCAGAATTGGTACATTTTAGCAGAGATGTTGAAACTGGAGCTGTAGCCATGATTTCATGTCGAAATCTCAGTCTGTTAACTGTTTCTTAATTATTTTGCATGTCCTCTGTGTTTGATTTAGACCTCGTTCCCATCAGGCATTTCTGGAATTGGATTTGTATTTATTTTTTCAAAGCAACAGTGCAGTCGAATCAGCTGTGCTTTGCACCTTGTGTTTGCTTTCAGAACTAAAGACAGCATGTATCATGCCCTGACTTATGCCACCATATTGGAAATGCAAGCTATGATGACATTTGATCCTCAGGACATACTGAATGCAGGAAACACAATGAAGGAAGCTCAAGCCACCTGTCAAAGGTAAGCGTGGAGCAATTCAGTCAGTAAATAGTTGCTTCTCGGTAAAGGTTTGAAAGACATACAGGTTAAAAAAGGAAATTTAAGTTCATAGAAATCATAGGAAAATGGAGGTTGGAAGGGACATCAAGAGGTCATCTAGTCCAGCTCCCTACTTGGAGGAGGGTCACTTAACAGGTCACAGCACACAAATCAGAGTGTTCAGCAGTCTAGCCTTGAAAACTTCAGTTTACCACAATATCTGATTTTTCTTGTCAATTAGACTTTAGTCCTATCTGTAGTCCTGGTTCTGCAGTGTCTGGAAGTTGTTATTTACAATGTGCAGAACACTGCAGAATGTTCCCATGGGTGATGGTTGTGCTGCAGTTCCCTGTCTTTGAGTCTGCTTTTGCACCCCCATGGACATGCACCCATACACACACAAAATAAATCATCCCCTTATCCCCTTCCTTCATCAAGACGTATTTCCATGCTTGAAGGGTAAAACAGATCTCAGGAGGACCATGTTGACTGAGTTCTCTATGGAATATGCTGAAGTCTGTATGTGGTGACATGACAGAAAGTTGAGCACTAGAGGTGTGTTAGTGACTGTGTGGGTGACCAGCTGAAAGATACTGTTGTTCTCTGTTGTTGATGCTTCGTGTTCAGAATGACCAAATGGACTTTTTCTGCAGATTTAGGAAGAAATCTACAGTAGCTGATTCTATCAACAACCTTGTACATAGACAAAGCCTTGAACACTTTACTGAAGGTAATATTATCTCTCACATGCATAGTGTTTTATTCTTTTTATTTATGCAATTTGAATCAGGTACAACTGTTCACTCGGTGTGTGAATTTGAATATATAACCACATCCAAAATCACTGGTTTTGGTGATTGCTGACTCAGCACTCCCAAAAATTGCCAGGTAAAGGCATACCTAAAAAGAAGTATTGAAATGGCTATAAAGGTTCTAGATCCAGAATTTCATAGAAAGCACCAGATAAATTCCCGCAAAGTTTCTGTAACTGTGTTTCATTTCTGTTTGGAATTACATCACTAGTCTGGAACAGAAACACTACATCAAATTTGGATAATGTTTTTCTCAGTTTGAGCTTTATGATCTTATTCCTATATTAATGGGCTAAGGGTTTTTTTATTACTTTTTGACTTTTGATTTGTTTTTCTCTCCTCTCTGTGTGACACTAGAGGAAATCCATGCAGAAATTTGCTATGCTGAATGTTTACTTCAGAGAGCAGCACTCACATTCCTCCAGGTATGGACTCCTGTGTGCCTTGTGGGGGGGAAAAAAGTACATACCATACAGGTTCCTATTCTTAAAACTAATGAACTGGTAGAAGACTGTAGTTTAACCTAGTGGTGTAAGGCTGTTTCATCTGGATCAAGCCTGGATGTTGGAACAGTGCTGAGTGCCCAATGACACCCTTCTCTACTCCTTCTCATTTCACACTCGTGTGAAATGTGACTGCAGTAAGCACCACTTTTCAAACACTGTGTGTTGGGATATCAGATTTAAAAAAATAAAAGAAGAAATGGTCATTGAAGCTGTGCTGGAATACGAGTGAGTTTTTTGCTTCAGCCTGGCTGGTGTTTGCTTTCCCAAGACTGCTTTCTCACTGGTGTGCTCTTGAACTGCATAGCTATTAGGCTCCACACATGATTTCTCCTTAACAGTGCTCCCTGTTTTTTAAAAAAGGGGAGTCCTCCCTCTTCTTTGAATTTTATCTCTGTACTAATGAAGCTTGATTTGTTTGGTGGAGCAACATTAGCAGTACTTACTTGGGCTCCAGCATGCAATTTAAATTGTTCGTCGCACTTGAAATAACTGATTTTTATTCTTGATTTGACTGTACTTGCTGTATAAAAGTGGGCCTCTTCATCTATTAAGGGGATAATAAAAGTCACAGTCAGAAAAAGCCTAATGTTTCTTGGCTCAGTGGTGCTGGTAGGAAATGGAATGCAGGTGGTGGTTTTATAGTGTTTGGGAGTTGCCAGGTGGGCTCTGATTTATGTTGCTTGTGACAGTTTATGGACCGTGTAACGTTTTTCAGCAATCTGCTGGGTCCCTCTACTAGAAACTACTGCTTCATAGTTACACCCATAATCAGAGGAGCTTTTATAGTTTCTAGAGTGCTGATGATGGACTTTGAAATGGCCAAGGTGTAGCTACCTGTTTCCATTTTCCTTTGGGATCTCTTGGGATGAGTAGCCTCTAGCACAGGGGGCAATTTGGGTGATGTCTGAAACCATGGAAGCAAGATTTTTGAAGTGCCTGTAAGAAATGAGTGTTTTAAAGCAATGTCTCTTGGTTTTAAGGACTGTTTTCACAGGTATCTGTTTTTTAAAAATGTTTATAGATACATGGGGGATTTAAGAATAAGAAAATAATTTCTTGTCCTCTTCTGTGTTTAATTTTTCACGAACACATGAACTAGTTCTAAAAATTAAACAAAGGCATTTGGTTCCAACAGTTATTGAAGGGGGTTAGTTTTGATGCTTAACGTAAGTGACCAAATCTGATTGAAAACACATAAAAATTAATCTCAGCATTTTACAAGGGCTGGACAATTCTCACGTTGGCTATTCTTGTTGGCGTAATGAGCATTCTGAATATAAACATTTTAAAACCGTCTTCTTTCCTTGTTCCATTTTCCATTCAAAGGAAAATATAACTGAACCTTTACACATGGTAAAATATTCTGTACCCCCTGGTGTGCTGTACTGGGATTAGTTCATCTAATCCATGCTGTTTTCTCCACAATGCTCCAGATAGCTTCTTATGATTTTTCTGTGATGGTATCTTCTGTTAAAACACATACAGACTTTCTGTCCCAAAGTAACAGCAGCTACTAAAACAAACCAGAATGACAGACTATACATGATGAGTGAGGCAAGAAATTGCCACCAGGAAGTTATGAGACAGAAGAATCTTTAACGGTCTCTCAGATACGCTTTGCTGTAAGTTCTCAGTTTGTTATAGCTTATAATGTAACATGTTACCATCTCATATATATGAGTATTCAGGCCAGAAAGAGCATATCCTGTGTAACCTTACTGACCCTGCTTCCCTTTTTGGGATATGAAACTATATTCTGTAGACTCCTGAGGACAGGCAGTTACTTGTGAGCATTTCCTAGCTCAGCACCAGGCACATCTGAACTGTGCTGAAGGACAAATGGGAGAAAGCTGTTTTTTTGAAAGAGCCACAAATGCATGTACCTTAGGTGACATTCAGTAGCATAGTCCTTGTGTTTATTAATGCAAATTCAGATGGTCCAAGAGTGACAAGGGCTAAACTGATCACAGAAGGCATCAAAATAAAGTGCCTGTGTCTAAGCGGAGTAAAAAATATATTAATATAGAACGGAAATCCTAAATCCATGTGTTGTGTCTCAGAGGCTTATATTGTCTGTGTCATGCTGGTTATGTTCCAGGTATGTGTTCACCTCAAGAAGACAAAAGACCTTTATAATGCTTGCAAATTCATATTGCTAATGTGTTTCCATTCCAACAGGATGAGAATATGGTAAGCTTCATAAAGGGAGGCATCAAAGTCCGAAACAGTTACCAAACATACAGGTGAGTCAGAGTGGTGATGTGATTTAAGTGTACTCTATCAGTAAAAAGTGCTGCTGGTCAAATATTCCACCACAGTCATTAGGCATATTGAAATGGCCTTTCTTTTATAGTTCTAGCTGCAGCTTTTTGGAACATTTGAAACCAGTAGCTGAAGCACAAGTAATTCCATAATAAATGCATAAAACTAAAATAAAATGAAAGGACAAGAAACCAAAGAGCTTGCAATGTAAAGTATAAATGGCTTCAAACAAAGATTAAACAAATTTGCAGGAAATAGGGGCTATTTAGTGTAGCAAACAGATGCAATCTCCCCACATCATGAGGTCTGTGAGCAGTCAATTCTTAGAGGATGCTTTTCCCAGCATATGCCACTGTCTGAGTGATATTTGGTGAGCTGGACTTTTAATCTGGTTAAGTACACCAGTTCTGCTCTAAAGAGAAGGTGCCTGCTATTGCAAATGATAAGCAGGGTGGCTTATCTGAACTCACAGTATGCTCATTACTTCGTGTCTGCAAGCCAAGAACATCTGCTTAGGCAGAATTCTTTTCATCCAGGTATGTTATGCAGAGCCACTTTCAACATGTGCAAATGATTTTGAAGTGCAGTAGTAAAATCTAAGAATTCCATTAAAATGTACACCGTGGGAAGCACATTCAGTTGTGCCTCTGTCAGGACCAGCTATAGTTTGTATAAAACCAAAATGTTAATGAATCTAGTGACTCTTAGGTGTTCTTCTTCAAAGAAGGCTAATAAAAATGCTAACAACAACTTGCATGTTAAGAAAAGCTATATTTTAACAAAGGGAAAGTTTTTATGTGACACCAGCAGTTATGATTTTTGTACTCTACCTTCGGTGTGGGAAAAAATAATTGGTTGCAGTTTTGGTGTGAGTGTGGTGCAACAGAGAAAACACTGAAATATGGAAATGAGGCTTTATTTGCTTTGACTGATCAGTATTTTTTACAATGTAGTTTCTGATATAAAAAAGCATTTTTCCCTTCCCTGCTGTCAGCAGAACTGCTTGATAATCTGCAACAAGAGCAAACTTGAAAAAATAGGATGTGTAAATGTTGCAAAGCCACAGCTTTTGAAACTCTCTTTCAGGGAGTAAAGGTCACCAGACACTGTAAAAAAGATGAAATGAAATAAAACAAAAATTCAGAATGAAACATTTGCTTAATGACAGTGAATTAAAAGTAGCAGAAAACTTTTGCAGTTCTTACTGAATTGTAATTACTGAAATGTAACAGAATCTTGTGCACTTTCAGGGAGCTGGACAGTCTCATACAGTCCCCACATTATGTCAAAGGAGAGAACCATCTTCATTTTGAGGGAGGTGTAAAACTTGGAGTTGGAGCATTTAATCTGGTACGTACCAACAGTTCTTATCCTGAGCTGAAGTCCTGCTACCTCCTGGAAGTGACCCTAACTTGAATTCCTGAGAAGCTCCGCTGACATCAGTGTTGCTGATCGTGTGGTTAAAACATAAATGTGTGCTGATGGTGCAGGATCACAGTCTTTGGTCTAAGAAAATCAGATAATAATACTCTTTAGAAATACAGAGACTGCTGCCCACAATGTGGGATGAGGGCCAGGAGAAGCCTTGCACAGAAGCAGAAGTTGCCTGTGTTGGCTGAGTTCCACTTTCTCTCTTACTGACACTTGGAGAGCTTGGGCTGTTGGCAGGGCAGTTGGTGGGGTGGGGTACAGGAATGAAGGGATGGATTGAGGTCCTGCTCAGGCCACTGTTGGCTGTTGTTGCCTATGCTCTGGCCAGAAAGCAGGTGATCAAATGCTACAAGATGGTTCCTGGTGTGTCAGAGAGGCATTGACCCAGAGATGGCGAGGGGTGACGTGGTTGTTCAAGGGATGGGCTGCAGAAAGTGCCTGGTGCTTCCCCTTCCTTGCACTGCTTTATGTGAGTCTGCCACATGCCCAGATGTTAGATTTACTGCACAAGGACAAATATGTACTGTGTGGTGTGCACCCAGCATTTCTGAAACATCCAAATACTGGAGTAATGTGCTGTGTAAACATGTTTCTGTGCAGGGAATCCCAGGGACACAGGGTCTCTATATTAAGCAGATATTTCTGTTTAAATTGTATTTAAAATATAACAGGTGGATACATTTACTCAGGAACTTGTCATAGAGAAATGCTTTTAGTACTTTTAATAATTATTTCTTGTCTTTGGAAAAATTGTGGGAGGCAGCTGAGAGACAGAAAGTTACTGCATAAATGTTGCATTTCTCTCTGTAGACATTGTCCATGTTCCCTGCACGGATCCTGAGATTACTGGAGTTTGTTGGATTTTCTGGAAACAAGGTAAATGTGAGCTAAATATTATTGGTACAGTCCTCTCACTCTTAAATTTAAAAATGGAGACAGGAGTTTATCTCTTCTTCCTCCCATTAGTTGTAACCCCTGAAACACCCTGGTATCACAGAAGCACGCTGTTACACTGATGCTTTTGTGCAGCTCAGTTTTCCTTTATTTTTTTGTCTGAACTATTGCACTTCAAAGATTGGGGAAAAAAACCTTTCTATTTCATTTCTGCTTTAATAGCAACTTAACTGGAGTGTGGCACCTAAATTCTCTTGTCTAAAGGAGTAAGTGCTTTTCTGCCTTTTATAATGCTTTCTATTTATAAAACAAGTTTCAAGAAAAAAAATGTTTCTTTATCAGAGCTACAGCCTTACATGACAGGTCAATGACTGTCATCACCATTTGATTAGTTTACAGGAAGGGTCTAATATCTGAAAATAAAATGTCTTGTTTAAAAGCAGGGAGCAGAGTGTGGATTACAACTTAAAAATTTCCAGGAGCTATTTCACAAACAGTAAAGGCAAAAATCAAATACTTTCACCTGTCAGTTACAATAACAAAGAGCATCTAAAGCAAAATATTCTCCTAGAATTGTAAAGGTGATTCATGTACCAGCAGAGCTCTGAGAATACTTTGGTGAACACTCATCTTACTACTACAGGTGAAAATTGTCCCTCTAATTGAGTTTGTTTTCTTTTGGGGTTTCTTGTATGGCTGTGAGTGAGCTGATATTTGTGTTGATGAGTCAGCTCCTATTACAGTTTTTTAATAACTCACTGAAGCATGACCTAGATTACCATAAATTTAAGCAAAAACTGCTGTCTACACACCATAGAAAGGAGTAAGACGTGTGGATCAAAGCTCGTTGATGGTCACTTATTTTAACAGCCTTAAAAAGTCTTTCTGCATTTAACAGGTGCCTAAAGCCAAAAGCAAAATTACAATTGCATGTGCAATCCTTTCCAGTGGTGATTTCCCAAAGCTTACAACAAGAAGTAGTAGACAAGAGTCTAGAAGGCGAAAGAAGCAGTGACAGAGGAGGAGAGGGAAGCTTGTGTGTCATGTGTTGCACCCATCCAGGAGAAAGGAGTTTTGAATACACTGTGTTTGATATTTTACTCTTTTCCATTAAGTGCTCACTGTGAGCATCAGGTTGTGCAAAAGTCATGGTTTGTGCCTTGAGCTGTTTGCAGATTACCTGAGAGAGCTGCAGTGCACTGGAGGACAGCTTGATTTTGGTGTGGGTCATGTGTTTAGGAAAACTGGATAAAAAAATTGCATTGTGTTATCTTCCAGGATACTAATCTGCCTCGAAGCCAGGAGATTTGCCCCTAGGGACTCTCCTTGTCTCTCAGACATGTAATTTTGGATAGTAAATGAGGACATGCCCAAAGCTCCTTTACTTCCTAAGCCATTTGTGGGCACTGTGGACAACATGATCAACTTAACAGCAGTCTGGAGCCTCAGAATAGTAGGTGGGATAAGATCAAGAAAGTATAAAAAGTAGCCTGAGGCCGTGTTTGTTCCCTTCCAGTCCAAGATGTGCCAGGTTGTGCCCATCTCACTATTCAGGCTCCTTTCCTTTGCATCATTAGTCAAAATATGGGCTTATTTGTGTTTAGTAGCATCAGCCCTGCATTTGGGCATTGAGGTTCAATGCAGTTTTGCCCAGTTTTGTGAGAAATGTTTTGTGGGCAGAGGTGTGTGTCACACACACTGTGCTGGGAGCATGTCTGCCTCACTGGGCAGCAGGTGGAGTGTGTGTTCTATCTGGACTTCTGTGTTTAAGGCTGACTAACCTCTCATGGGGAGAGCAGAAGAGTCCTTGCACTATCTCCCATGGAAGCACTGAACCTTTCTCACTGAGTCCTCTGCCAGGTCTCAGGCTAATATTTACCCTTGTTCTTATTTTATAGACAATTACAAATGCTGTGCTGCTAAACTGTAGAAGTTTGACATGAGCCTGCCATATGTTAAGTGCAATTTGTCAGAGGGTCAGATGACAGCATGATTTCAGGGGAAGGCAGGAAAGCTTTTAGATAGAACCAGTGTCTTTCAAATTATACTTCTTTTATGTGGGAGGACATTTTTCCCAACGTAGCTGAGCTGAAAAATACGTTTGATGTGTCAATTTGAAATAAATTTAATTCCAGTTTCCCACTAAGCATTTTTTTCGAAGTGCATTTTGATCTCTTCAGATTTTAAATGAAGATTAAATTGAAATTATTTCATGGGATACATTCAAATGCCTTGTGTACCAGCTTAATTAGCCAGTTTGTTGTAAAACTGTTAGTAGTATCCATCCTCCTTGCTAAGCCTGCAGTTACGTGATCAGGTCGTGGGACGTGAATGATGACCTTGCTCTGCTTTCATTGTCAAGATCCCTAATTAAAAGAGAGTGATTTAAAAATAACATTCAAGAGCTTTTGCTTCAGGAGAGTAGATGGATTTTAGTCAGTAACAGCTGAAATAAATATGAACCAGCTTCAGTGTTGTCTGATAATGATTTTGAGCACTGTCCTTTTTCGTCCTGCATCCGCTGTGGGATTCCCCACTGTTCATGTAGGAATTCCTGAATGACAGAGCATTGGATGTTTTGGGACAAGGGTTGAATCAATAAGATACTGATGTGATATAACGTAGTGACAGTCTTGGGAATTGAGAGATTGTGGGATGTTATGGGGAACTTGGATGAAAGATGAGAATTCCCATATTGGATCACAGTTGTCCCTAAGAAGTGTCATTGCTCCCTGCTCTGTGTTATACTTTATGTCCTTCAGAGTAGCTTATGTTTTGTGTGAAAACAAAACCCAAATGTGCTAATATCATTTTAGAGCAATTACAAAAATGTCATTTTTGAGAAATTACAAACGCTTAATGGCTTGACATCTGTTTTATATGCCCTGTAATAGACTTTGTTTGGAAGCTCATTCCCAGTGTTCTGGGATTGCTCATATCATTTGTGACATAGGTGTGGGAAGTAGTTATGGGTTATTTATGGTTAGAAGGTGTGTCCTAACAATTAAATATAATGTACTCACTGGTGCCAGTCACTGGGTGAGCACACTTTGTTTACAGAATTGCTCCTTAGGCTCAGGTAGTTGCTGATTGTGCTTTGGTTCTGAGATCCTCAGTTTGATCCCGGTGAGCAGCACAGTGCCCAGCTCATGGCACCTCCCTTGGCTGATGAGGTTTGCTGGCTAATCTCTGGAGGCTCCCTGTGGAGAAAGGGTGTGTGCTTGAAAAGGTGATTCATGTCTGACCCAGGCTTCTGTGCCAAATTGTTCCTTGGAGGAGCTACCTCTGTCTCAGCCAGCCACAGAGGGAGCCTAGGGAGGCCAGCTGACTGAGTGTGGGATGTAAAACATGTTTCCCAGGGACAACCCTTCATCTTCCTACCTTCCTGGGGATCTGATTTTAACAGCAGCAATTTGCAAGGGTGTTTTTGAGGAGAAGCAGCTTTGTTGCAGCGTTTTCTGCAAGCAAGTGTTGTAATACTAATAACAACTACTTCTATATTTCTTTTATTCAAGCTGTGTCTACTGATTATGTTGTTACTTTAATATAGAAAGTTTGGGATATTCGAGTGGCAGAGTGAAAAGTAAACACTCTTTAATACCTCTTCTGGACAAAATAGGATTATGGACATAGCAGAGTGAACTGACTTGCTTGGTGAGCTTCCCATGCCTGTGTAACTACTCAGTTTGAGAATCTGGGCTTAAGTGTGTCAGATTTGCAGCCCTGTTCTGATGAATGGGCAATGTTCTTAACCCATTTACTTCCCAGTTATTGCTGTCCAGGGAGTGGCTTTGTTCCTTGTCCATACAGATGATAACTTTGTGTTTGGCTCTGATAAAACACGCTTTTGAGACTAAAATATGTGAGATCAACTTGACAAATGATTAAATTATTCTGTATGACTAACAGAATTTGTTTCTGAATCATTCTTAGTGCTATTTGCATTCATATGTATTTCTGAATTATGTGGAAGATACCAAATACTGCAAGGCCAATGTCAGTAAAGGCTCAGAGAAATATCAAACTTGAAACATTTCACTGCAGAAAAATGTACTTTGGAAATCTACTTTGGAATTTTTTTTCTGCCAAAATTCATTCCATAGAATATTTTGTCTTCTACCTCAAAGTGCTACTTTTTAAAAAATCCAAATATTTGTGTTTTTCATCTGGGTAGTTTGCAGAAGTTCAATACATCATGTTTTGTTACTTATTTGTATCAATTAAACTTGTGCTCTCAGAAGAAAATGAAGTGGGTTTTATTTTGCAGAGTGCTTGGTTTCCATTAAGTCATTGATTTTTCAGTAGTGATTTTACTGTCTTTTAATTTCTTCTGTAGTGACATGCAAGTCATTATTTTCATTATTTTGTCCCAGCTAGATGTTATAATAGACCTGCAAATATGAGTTGTATTTTCCCCTGTGACAGTAATTAATGTTGTAAATTAAGATTAAAAAAAACACAAAAAACTGTATTCATGTGAAAACACTTAACTACACTAGTTAAGTGAAAAAATATGTGTGTGATGAAAATGAAAGTATGATTACAGGCTTCAGTGTTTACACAGTAAGCGATAAAGTTGTGGTAGTGTAACACCCCTCAGTCAGCAAGGGCACACAAAGCATATAAATCTGTTTTGATCATGTAACTGTTAGACAGAATTTTCCCCAGCACACAGTGGATGTCTTACTGTGCATATTTACTAGCAGGCAGATCTCGTGTTTGATACATTTGCATATTTATAATCTTGCTGTTGATATGATGGAACCAGTCCTGGAATGGGCTGATAAATGCTCTTGCCTCAGGAACTTGAATCCTTGAAGTTGGTTATCCATCATGCTGTCACTGAATATGAATGTGGCGTTATACTTGATTGCTTTAGTTCTTCCAAAAGGGAACAGAAATACTCTTTTTGTATTTTTCCACTGGTGGTAGTTGGCCAATATTGTTGCAAAGCTCTTTTTGTTCTTGGCATGCTTAAAAACATCTTTTTGCCCTGATATCTTTTGCTCTGCTAGTTGCAGATTTTTTTTTCTTAATACCTTTAACTTGCTTGTCTAGTGAACCTCAACAAACATGGATACACTGCACAATGGTGATATTTGGGGTTTGCCTTGCTTTTAAAAACTCTTTGTTTTTCTCTGGAATGCTGTTTAGCAGAACTTGGATGGTGGTGACAAGTTCTCTTATTCTCCTATGTTAACCATGTAATACATCCCAAGTTGCTGCTCTGTCATCAGGTATTTTCCAGGTTACACAGTAATTCCATGAAAAACTATTAGATAAATTAATATGTGTATTTTAACCTTCGACTGCTGTGTATGCGATGTATGTCAGTGCCTTTTTGGGAATTTGGTGAGTGAGCAATCTGAAGATGACACTGCAGAAGTTAAATTAGCAAAACTCAGCTCTGGATCTTTTCCAATGCTTTGTCCCCCTCTCTCTGTTTGCACAGGAACATGGTCTGCTGCAGCTTCAAGAAGGAGCATCATCATACAGCTTTAGGTCGGTGCTGTGTACCATGCTGTTGCTTTGCTATCATACTTTCATGACCTTTGTGTTAGGTAAGATTGTTTATAATAACTCTTGGATTTGATTAGTTCTTGTGGGACACAAGGGGGAAAAAGACTATTCCATCACTTATTTGTTGGTGAATTGTTTGTTCGTAACCAGATTGAATGTAACTCGTTTGTGGGTCATTTTAAAATGGTGATTATAACTGAAGAGAGTGCCTTAATTTTCAAGATGGAGGTTTGTTTAACAAATAAGAAGGGAGATAATGGGGATAGCCAAGGAAGCTGTGAGAGCTAAATTTGACTTCAGTAGTCAGATGCATTAATTGGGAGGTTAAAATAATGGCTGTAAGTGATGGATTCATTGTTCATGTTTATATGTCATCCCTGAATTTCTGGGGGAGGTGATAGCTTCCCACTGACACATACTTCTCTGTTATCTCCTGCTAAAACATTCTACAAAATGTTTGCCTACACATGGGTTTTCAAGTCAGTAAGAACAATGTTGTTGGGGCTTCCTGTTTGCTTCCTTAGTGCAGCACCAACCTGTTTTTATGCCTTACTTAGCAGAGAGAGGAACCTACGTGTTGGCCAGTTGAGGATGGATAATGAGTACCTTACATTCCTGTTTTTTTTTCTCTTTGTTTCCTAACTATTTTTATCGCTTGCATTTTTATGCATTCTAGGGACAGGAAAAGGAAATGTTGAGGAGGCAGAAAGACTACTTAAGCCTTACTTGGCTCGCTATCCAAAGGTAAAATGAATCCTAATTTATTTGGTATGATTGTTTAATGTTTTCTTGCCAAATAACAAAGATCTAGACTGTATGGTCAGCTTGAAAACTGTTAAAGAATACTTGTATTTTTATTATTATTTATTACAGGGAGCCATATTCCTGTTTTTTGCAGGCAGGATAGAAACACTAAAGGGTAATATTGATGCGGTAAGTAATCATTTTGCTCTTGGGAAGTTAAATTTCAAAAGCTTTGGAAAAACTCCTCCAGGAGCGATGTTTCCTTTTTGGCCAATGCTTCCTGTGGCTTTGGCCTATATCTAATTTGTAGTTCATGAATTACAAATAGGAATTTTGAAAATTATTTTGACTAACTTGTTTGTCCACCTCATTTTACTACCCTTCTCAATTTGTGGTGCTAATCTGGTCCGCCAGTATTAATGACACAGTTTTTTCATTGTCTTTCCTATCCTGAAGCAAGTTGTACCTTTAATAAGACCCAGTGGTAATCCTTTGCCTTCAGTCTGAGTGGAGAGTCATACAAGACTTAAAAGAATTATGGAGATGGAGAATGCATGTCCGAAATACTCTGAGACAGGGTATCAGCTGGTGTGCAGGGCAGCAGCTCCCTTGAAATCCATGGAACCACAGCAATAAATGTCAGCTGACCATCTGTCCTCTGCCTTCAGTTTCCTAATTTCCCTAGACACAAACATTAATTTTGATTATGCTTAGAATTTTTATAACTTCCAGGAATGAGGAGGTGTGTGGCAGGGTAAACTTGCTAATGGTGTTAGCAAGTTGATGACTGTGTAGCCAAGAATCTCTTGTGTGTGTGAAACCAGCAGATGTGATTTTGGGAAGTACTGGGCTGTTAATAATTTGGAAGTGGCAGGAGCCATGTGGGCAGATCCTGGAGCCCCAGTGTCTGCTACAGCACTGCTGTTTGTGCACTTACACATGACTAAGGCAGTGTTTGGAAATGTCTGTGTGCAGGCAGTCAATAGGTATGAGGAGTGCTGTGAGGCTCAGCAGTACTGGAAGCAGTTCCATCACATGTGTTACTGGGAGCTGATGTGGTGCTTCACCTACAAGCGCCAGTGGAAGATGGCTTTCTTCTATGCAGACCTGCTGAGCAAAGAGAACACCTGGTCAAAGGTGAGTGAACAGAAGGGTGAAAGACCCTGTAGTATCTATCAACTTTGAGTCAAGTTGACTTTCTGTTGCTTCAACAATAGAGATTGTAAAGTAAAACCTGGCCCTCCGTGGCTTTTATAGAGCGATGTGAACTGCAAACATTCAAATCTGAACAGACTGTGGGCAAGCAGAAATCTTTTGGGCCCAGCTGGGAGATGAAGATCAGCTTGTTGAAGAGGTTCTGCTGTGTATTCACTGGTTGTGTCATCAACAAAGTGCAATTAATGGCACAAGTTGCCATTTCTTTCATCACATTATGGATATGAGCTCTTCTCGTGATGAGTGGGGTGAGCCATGGCGGTGCCTCCAGGATAATAAGTTTAATTAGAAGTGGTGCCTAACCCTGCACATCTGAAAGGGAGAAGTTCTTCTGTCTAGAATCCTGGTAACTTTCCTCCCTTCATCTTCCCTTTTTGCTGTTTTAAAAGTGGGGATTACATTTCCCCTTTTCCAGTCAGTCGGAATTTCCATGGACTGCCATGACTTCCCAACTAATGATGAACAGTGGCTTAAGCACCTTCATCCTCCAGCTCCCTCGGGATCCATGGACTTGTGCACCTTCAGGTTCCTTTGATGATTTTGAACCCAAACTTCTCCTACACCAGACAGTTCTTAGTTCTCCTGTTCTCTGCCTTTACCTTTTGTGACTTGGACAGTGAGGCTGGAGCACTTGGTGATGAAGACTGAGGCAAAAAAGTCAGAGTACTTCAGCCTTCTCCAGATCTTGGGTAACCTGGTCTCCTTTTTTCTTCCAGAGAGGGCCCACATTTTCTCTAGTCTTCCTTTTATCACCAGCATACCTATAGGATCTTTCCTTGTTGCTCTTGGCGTCCCTGGCCAGACATCAGGGCTTCAGCCTTCCTAAAAACCTGATCCCTGGCTGCTCAGACAATTTCTCTGTGTTCCTCCCAGGCTGCCTGTCCTTGCTTCCACATTCTGTAGGCTTCCTTTTTGTGTCTGAGTTTGTCCTTGTTCATCCACAAGGCCTCCTGATGTTTTTGCCTGACTCCCTCTTTATTGGGATTCATCTCTCCAGAGCTTGGAGGAGCTGATCTTTGAATATTAACCAGCTTTCTTGGGCCCCTCTTCCCTCCAGGGCCTTATTTCATGGTAGTCTACCAAGCAGATTCCTGAAGAGGCCAAAGTCTGTTCTCCTGAAGTCCACAGGGAAAGACTCTAGAACTCTAGAACCTAGAATTTAGGATATGTTAGCAAATTGTGATTGGACACATAGACTGTATAGTAATAATTTTTTCTCTGAGCATGACCTTTTCATAAGTTTTCTAGCGTGTATACTTAAGAGTATTATAAACTTATTTACACAAGCATGAGATTTGTTCTTGGAATATGGACAGAAACTATAAGCTGATACAAAGTAAACAAAGACATACGTGATTTAAAACCAATGTTCTGTACTCACTTTCTAAAATACCTCTTGCTTAAATTTTTGTAAGATTGTGAGCAAAAGCAGCAACTGCCACTTTGTTGCTGGTTTGTGCTTTATATCAGTGAAGGTGATGCTGTAAATTCGTTTTTCTTTATAGATATTCTTCATTGCATTTGCAGGCTACTTATATTTACATGAAAGCTGCTTATCTCAGTATGTTTGGACCAGATGACTGCAGCCCTTTTGGAGACAGCGAAGCTGAATTATTTAGGTAAAATTTGCAAGCTCACAGTTACAACAGTTCACTGTCTTTTCACACCACAGTGTTGGGGGAAGAGAGGCAAAATATTCATTGTGCAGATTTGAAGATCTGTGCAAATAGCATTGGATTGGTAAGAAATGGCAGAGTTAAATGTCCTTTAGACTAAAGTGGACCCTGAGTTCAGACAACAGATTCCTCCTGGCCTGGAAATACTTTAGGGAAAGGGTATGAGATCTATCAGTCATACAGTGGCTGCTGCTGTTCCATGTAATAGTCACATTCTTTTCTAGTTGTTTCCTTTAATCAAAATGGCACGTAAGATGTGAAAGCCTTCAATGAATTGTGCTGCAAGATGTGTGTCTCCTTTAGTGGGAATATCAGCACTACTTGATTCTTGGGTTTTGAGTTCAAGAGGAATAAAAAAAGAGTTAAATGTGAGTGATAATCTCACTGTGGTAATGTAATGTTTAAGCTCAAAAATGCCTAAACCTTGCCGGGGCAAAGAAAATCTGATTACTTCGGGGTTTACAATTTTTATATAAAACCTAAATATCTTTATTTTTTTTAATGTGCTTACAACANTAATCATTACAAGCAGATTTTACTGAATTGGGGATCCATTATGAAATGAATAGTTTTAGTCTGGGAGAATGGCAGGAAGACTTACAGAAGCTGGCTTGCCTCTTTCTTAGTCTGTGAAGAGAGATGAGCCCTTTTTAAGTTCGGTGCATCATCTAATGTAATCTTTCAGTGGGGAAGAGTCCTTCTCCTGCTTCATTAAAGAGGAAACCTAGAGATAAATGTGCCCTGCATAAAGACAGCTTTTGTGAGTATGTATTGCTCAGCTTCCCAGAGGTAGCAGTAGCCCAGTGTGCAACAGCTTTTTTAAGTTCTCCTTGGTTTGATTTTTTTTTTTTCTCTTTAAGTTTGAATATTTGGGGTTTTTTCACAGAGGGAAAATTCCTTGTGTTTTCCTTTATACTTTCAGGATTGTTCCCACTCTGAAACTGAAAATTGCAGGGAAATCTCTGCCTACAGAAAAGTTTGCAATTCGGAAAGCGCGACGGTATCTTTCTCCAAACCCTGTTCCTTTGCCTGTTCCACCTTTGGTAAGTTAGAGGTATCCACACACGTACCCTTTTCAACATTTCAATTTACAGAAATAAACCCGAGATAATTAGAATAGTGTCTTTCCATGTTTCTAAGGTAAAACCTCTGCAGGAGACTGGAATGTTCCCAAAGCAAAGCCAAATGAATGCGAGGAATGCTGTAAAACTGGGGCATGCACCAGCCACAGGGAACTGAGCCAGTTGTTTGTGACACGTAAATGTGTTGCATGTGTAACTCATTATTCCAGCTATAGACCAGCGTGCTCCCAACAGCTTTCTTTTGCTTCCCTTTTGAGGAACTTTGCCCTGGGTCTCTTTTGTCACGTGTCATTTACTAACAGAAGACTTTAAGGTACAAGTGAGGGGAGGTGTCAAGGAAACAAAGCAAGAACTGGGGACTGCCTGTAAGCATCTGTTTAATGTGCCCCTGAATGTTTGCAGTTTGCTCTCCAGAGCTCCTCACGGGTGCCGGGATGAAACGATCCTTTGGCCACTTCAGAAAGCCATTGCAACTCTAGATTTGTTTGTTTGTTTGTTTAATTTTTTTTGCCCTGTGATGCTGGGCAGTTCCCTGTGGCCAGATGAGAACAGCTGCATGAGGCACCCATTGCCTTGTTCATGGTGCACTTACAAAAATCTGTCTACAAAGAACATGTAGAAGAACATAAAAGGGTTTTGAGTCCACAGGTTTGCCAAGTGCAGTGGTGTTAACTTCTGCTGTGCCTTGAGCTGTTGTGTTTGAGAAAAAGATGGATAATTAGTAAATACTCTTTAAAAAATGCCAGAACAAGGAGAGCTTCTTGGAGACCCCAGTGAGTAACCACTTCTCAGCCCACCAGTGGGGATGTGAACACTGTGCCTTCTGAAGAAATAGAGTTGTTACAGCAGAGCGTGGGTATTCACTGGGGGCCACGTTCCACTAATAAGGCTGAAGTGAGAGAAATAATTAGGTTACTTTGACATGCCTTTCAGGTTTCAGAGAGGAAGAAACACACACACCTGGGGTTTGGCTGGGCTATCCTAGTGGGATTTTGGCAGAGCAGGTTTCTGTACCAGGATCTCTCCTTGGAGCAGCCGGGCACTGTGTCCTTGGCCGCTGTGCAGTTGCGTTTCCGAGGCAGCAGGTGCCGCAGCTGAACAGATAAAAGCACTTCATGGATGTGGAACTGGGGTTAGAATCTCATCTCCAGGATTTTTCTTTTCATTATCAAGGGGCTTGCTGAGAAGAGCGAATTCTCAAGCAAGTCTTAGCTCGAGGATTTAGCCAGGAATGAATGTGGTTTGAATACTTCTGTTTCAAAACCATGTTAATGAATCTGCACTAGGTACAGTAAGCTCAGCACAGGTTTTCCAATCAATAGAGACCAGATGGTGAAAGCAGCAGTGACTGGGGTTAACATGCTGTTTCAGCTATTCTAGCCTGACAGATTTTTGTGCTGTAGTTACATAACTCAGTTATTCTATATAGAAATTTTATTTTAATTTAAACACAGACTAGGTCATATAAATAAATAGAATAAATGGATTGGACGCTGATCTCTTCTCTCTGGTGACCAGTGACAGAACTCGTGGGAATGGCATGAAGCCCCGGGTCAGGAGAGGTTTAGGCTGGCTGTTAGGAAAAGTTTCTTCCCCCAGAGGGTGGTCGGGCACTGGAACAGGCTCCCCAGGGCAGTGATCACAGCCCCAGACCTGCTGGAGCTCAAGAAGCATTTGGACAACACTCTCAGGCACATGGTGGCATTCTTGGGGTGCTCTGGTGCAGGTCCAGGAGCTGGATTTGATGATCCTTGTGGGTCCCTTCCAACTCAGGATATTCTGTGAATCTATCATTAAACAACTTGTCATGAGGGCCAGTCATAAGTCTATGTAACATTTCCATCTTTTGTGATTGCTAGTGGCAATGGGCACATTTGATCTGGTCATGTACTGTAAGAGAGAGCCCCAATAACAAAGAGGAATTGAACCAATAGTTTTTAATAAAATATACTTTCAGAACAGTTGAATAAGAAAGAAGTTGCTTTCTGTGGGTACACCAAACAAACCTGAGAAATGTAAGAGGCTTACAGTTCAGTTTTAAAATTTTGCTGGTTTGTTTGAATCTTGGCTTAAAGGTTAGGGGGTTTGGTTTTCTTTTTCTTTTGTTTTGCTGTCCTGAGGTTTCATATTTTTCTGTGGAAGCAATACATTTCAGTTATTTGTGGTTATTACTGCCCTGGCTAGGACAGAACTGAAAAACCAGAGGAGACCTTAACGAAGGGACAGTTGGCCTTGTGCCTGAATGTTTCCAGTCTGGTTTGTTGGTACCCGCTTCATCTGTAAGTGAGATGGTGTTTGCATTCTATTCAAGCAATCTCCCTTGTATTGTGTGTAGTAAGCAGCTCTTTAGTTGTCTCCCAGGGCTAATTTGTTCTGAAAACCCGTGTAACAAGTTTTCAGTTACAAAGAAAATATGTTTTGACAAACTGACTTTATTTAAGGAACCTGTAACATTTTCATCATGCAGAGATAAACTGAAGTATTTGACAACTACATTTAGGCAGAACTGTAATTAATGATGCTGTCATTTTTCCCTGACCCTAGGAAATGATGTATATCTGGAATGGCTATGCTGTAATTGGAAAATGTCCCAACTTAACAGAAGGCATGTTAGAGACTTTAATTGAAGCAGAAGAAGCATTGGCAAGAAGTTCAGGTAATCAGTGATAGGGTTTAACCAGTTATTTTATAGTGTAATAGCTAAAGATATTATCTGTGAATAGAGAGAAACACTCATTAGTGAAGTTAATGGGATCATAGGAGGAACATAGATAATGAAACCATAAACTGTTTATGCAGATAGGAATATTTTTTATTTTTAATATAGCAATAACTTACAATAATAGCAAGTGATTTTCCATCCACAGATGTGTGGATGTGTGTTAGGAATGGTTTATGACATGTATTAAAGGACTGTTTATTTTGGTAGATCAAAATCAGAGCATGTGTTGGCTTGGTTATTTGGATGATGAAGCTTTGTTAGCCTCAGATACTGTATTTCAATTTTGAAGAATAAATAGGAGACAAGTTGGTCTTGTGTTTTAAAAAGTGCTGCCAGTTTATGGTGTGACCTTGGGCTGAATGGTCTGGTGTCACCAGAATACTATAGAAATCTGGGATATCAAGGATGGACTCCTTTGCACTATGAATGAGCATAAGATAGGATTGAACTGAAACAGGCTCTGCTGCCACATTTTCTGTCAGTCTGTTAATTAGCTATACATGAGAAAGTGGAATTGATGTTTATTTCTTGTCAGCCTTTCACAGCTCCTGTGGGAGTACAACCAGTCTGCACATCTTTTCTCACAAAGCTTTCCCTTGCTCAATATTTGATCTTATTACTATTATATACCACCTTCCTGCAAAAGGATCAAGCCCCTGTTGACAAAGGAATATAGGCTAAAACACTGCATTGCAGTCTTTTCTAGGGCCTTGGTCTTCGTGTGCACAGTCTGTTACACAAGATTTGAGAGAGTTGCCTGAAAGCCTGGCTAAAATTATTTATTTTTAATTAATTGCACAAGAGAGCAGGGAAAATATTTTCAGTGAAGGTGACATCTTAGGAAAAGTCCTTTGACCCTTTCACTTTCTTTGTCACCCATTTTGTTACATTATTTCGAGTAAGCGAATTATTTCTCCGTTCCCCTTTTTTTTCTCAGTTGACAAGTTGTGGATAAGGTTGGATTTTGCAGGGATCTGTAGCTGATTCATGTTTATAGAACACTGTGAGGACATGTAATCGAAAAGTGGGATATATTTCAAACACACCAACAATTTAAAGTATTGCCTGTTCCAAATATTGACTTGCTGTTTCCAAGCATTGTGCTTTCCTTGAGCTTTCCTGACAGGATTCGGAGCTAAGCTATTATGTATTCAAGTATTTTCTCTGAGTTACTGTTAAAAGATTCTAGCAGTATAAAAAGATGCATCTGAGGATGTGCTTCTAGCACATTATACCAAGTAAGATGTAAAAGCAAGGCTTTTAGCAGAAGTAACATCTAGAAATACAATTATGCATATCAGGTTTGCATCTAGCAGAGGTTCCTAAATGTTTGCTGACACAGTCCGGGGCAGTCTGTAGGATATAAGCAGAGAAAATACATGCCTATGGACGTGTTCTTGGGACAGATGTCCAGAAGAGGAGGCAACTGTTGGTTTGGTGTTTTTTTTTTTTTTTAATTCTTATGAAATAATTCTTCCATGGCCTTGAGTCATCTCACTGTGCACATACTCAGTGTGTCAACCTTTGCCCTCTTGCCTGTTTCTTCAAAGTTAGTTTGCTGGATAGTCTTTGGGCATCTTCCCTGGGATTTGTTTTGGTGACTTATGTATGTAGGAGCCTTTGTGGGAATTTGCAATAGAAGTGACTCCAACTGTAGGACCAAGGCCTCCGACTCAGTACTCCAAAGGGAAGCAGCTGTTTCGTGCAGTCTGTGTCAGCATTTAATCAGCTGGAGTGATAAGTGAAGAACCAGGTAAGGCTTGGAGCAGTGAAAACAGGATGACATTCAGTAGCATCAGATGCAGTATCACACATTTTGTAGAAATTCTTTTTAGTTAGGATTTCATGAATTGGAAATGATTAAGCACACTGTAGATTTTGCTTGTAAACTTTAAGATTAAGCTGCCTATACGGATTGGCTATGGAAAAGCCAGATGTTTACTTTGAAATGTGCAGAAATGTTCTGATGAAGGAAGAGTGTTGATAGTAATGACTTTGAACCAGGCACTCATAATTAGAAGTAAATACTCAGAAGAGGTGTAAAGAAGGTATGGTAGGAAGATGAGATCCAAGGTGCAGGTAGCAAATTTCATATATATTTTTTTTTAGCCAAGCAAAGGTGGAGAATTGTTAAAACACTTGCCTACGAATAGGCCATGTGACTAGAAGTCAAGGAAGAAGAGCTGTACCTACTAAAGGGCAATAAAGGTTGAGAGATTACAAATTGAGCCTCAGTATTTACAAAATTAACACCTTAAATTAGTTTTTGGATGTCAGAACAGTGGGGTAGCCTTTCAGTGGGAGTAGGGAAGGAAAAAACAGCCCAACAATTTTTAGACAAAGTTTGATTGATTTATGAAAAGGTTGATGTTTGTTTGTCTCTGCCTTAAATTAAATTCACCAATTAGTTCCTTCTGCCCTGTGACCCAATAAATGGATTGTGCTCACACTTGCCTTTGTAGAAGTTTCCCTACGGGGTAGGAAAGTCTCTTCTGTTCTAGAGTTTTCTAAAATGTGCCATTTACTCCATCCTGCAGCTACAGAATTACTAGCAGATGACCGGTGTGTGATAAAGCTGTTAAAGGGATTATGCCTCAAGCATTTGGGCAAGATCTCAGAAGCAGAAGAACATTTTAATTACATCTATTTAAAGTAAGTTTTCATACCTGGCATGTAGGAGAGCTCTTGAGTTTCAAGTAAGAGGAGATGCAGCCATGATATGAATAGAAGGGAGAGGACTGCAGTACCTTTGGTATTTATTTCAAGGAATTTCAATTTTAATTCCCAGTCTTTTTAGCCATGTGTTGAAGAATTTCAAATCTGCAATTTTTATTGAGGTATTTTCTCCTTTTAGGGGACTATAGATGCATAAATTTTTTAAGATACCACTTACCTTTTTTTGCCCCCTTCCTCTTCCCAGTCATGAAGGAGCTGTACCCAAAAAGCCAAGTGCAGTTTGCAGAGACAGGTGGCAGCATGATTACACTTAATGGCCTCTCTTCTTGTCAGTTCACATGGATACAGCTCATAATATTGTCATCTTTTCTAACACTTCCCTGATAATAGAGGCTTTATTTTCTAATCCTGAGATTGTACATATTGTGTAGGATGCTTATGCAAAATACACATTTAATAACCCGGAAGGTATCTTGGGGTAGAGAACATGACAAGTGTCATAATAGAGATTGATTGCTCCTTCTGATCTTAGCTAATCTCCTGCTTATTCGTGTATGGAGCTGTTAAATGAGGGAAACAATATATCATTTCAAGGTCTCCAGGCTATTTCTCTTCCAATGCAGTGAGAAGAAGATAAAATATGATCATTATCTAATTCCAAATGCCTTGCTGGAGTTGGCAATACTGTATCTAGACCAAGATAGAAGAGAAGAAGCAATAAAACTTCTGGAAAAAGCAAAGTAAGTGAAAAGCCCGTGTTGATGTCTGATGAGTCAGTTTGGTATTTTACTGGTTAGCAGGAAGCAGAAACATTTCATTAATATCATGGAAACTCATTTCAATTTTTTAGAGGAAGGATGCATGCCTTAGTTTTGGTTTGACTTTGCCAGTGGTAGGTGTTAGGTTTGTTCAGTCTGGGTCTTAAACATCAATTCTGAGAAGAGCAAAAAAAAATTTAAATATGTTAATTGAAATGTCAGAGGCTTCCATAAGAAATAATCCATGTGTAACAAAATGTAATAATCTTAATATTTACTTATTCATAAAAGATGTATAAAATGAAATCAAAGCTCTGTGTTATGGCTAAAATAGCATTACTTTAATTAATGGCTAGCAGGGCCTGTTCCTTGATGAAATACACTTAAGATAACGCTTCAGGTTGCATTTAGTATCTTTGTATTGTTTCATCTGCATCTGAAAAGCAACTAAACCACCTACTTTTGCTATTTTATGTGACTGATTTTTCTAGCAAAGTAGGTTTATCAGGGAGTTGGACTTGATCGTGTGTGTTCTTTATTATAAAATTAACAAAATACAGGGTTTGCCTCTGTCTGAACCTTCTATGCTGAGCCAAAATTTTGGCAGTGGTGGGGAGAGAGGGAATCCAACCCAAACAACACTCGCCCTCTTCAAGCAGCAGCAGGGGTAGTTCACCCCTCTGGATCCTGAATGAGTCCAGATGTCTGCACCTTCCCAGTGCAGAGAGTCACTGCCACAGGTGTGAGCAGCTACAAAACTGGTGTCTGCCCCCAGTTCCAGAGAGGTCAGATAGAGTTTTTATGGTTTGGTGTTTTTTTTTTTTCCAAATCAGTCCTCTCTGCAAGACAGAGTGGCGAATCAGCCTACCAAAGATTATGCCAAAAGCCTGTCAGCACAAAAATTAAAATATTGCAATCCTTAATCTGCTCTGCTTGTGCTTGTAAACTCATGGAAGATATTAAGAGCAGCAAAAATTGCATTAGCAAAGTGCAATGGAAAGTGTTTCAGTTGGCTTCACATTCCTCTAAACATGCCTCTCCTGTCCTAATTTTCTTTGTTCAAATCTCTAGTAAAAAGAGATCTAGAAAATAATGATTCGGAGCTGCTTGTTCCAGCTGGAACTTCTGTCTCTTGCTGCTCGGCCACTGCACCTTTCCCTGACAGCTCCGAGTGTCCCAGATCCCCTCAAGGGAAGGTGTCTGGCTTAAAGGGGAGCACCAGCAGACTGCAGCTCTGAAAAAATTTGTTGTTGCCCAGTGTATGAAAGCTGATACTCAGACTTGCTGGGCCCAAAGAACTCGTGGAGGCTGTAATGATATAAAAACCCCCACAGAAACAACGATCCACCCCAAAACCCCCCCCTGGTGTTTCAGTCAGTCCTAAAAAAAGGTGCAGTCCTTACACTTCCACCTGTGGCATTAAAATGCTTTGATTTATAAGCTTTCAGCTACAAACTGAATGTCTTGGCAGCCTCGAGGGGGAGAAGCGCGTTGGCCGCGGTGGGTTTCGGGAGTGCAGAATTATGTTTGCAGTTGGCAGGAGAGCAGGCGAGCACTTGGCTGGTGCATGACGCTTGATTTGCTTGACCTAAATCCACATACTGCTGCTGGCTGGAATTTTCAACTCTGGGAGAAAGAGTGGAACGAGATGATAAACAGTTTTGGCTTGGTCATGCATGGAAGTGTTTCTATTTGTTTGGCTGTGAGCTACAAACAAGAATATCAGCGTGCTGATGAGAAGTACTAACTCTGCATGACAAAATCTACTTAATTTAAGGAAAAAAAACTCCAAAGGGTTTTAGATCAGCACACAGCAGAACCCAGTCACCTCCTTTTCTCAGTCAGCCTCTTGGGTGTTGCATACATAAAATTATAAGCTGGTGTAGCATGGGTGTGGAATTCCTTGTTTTCAGCAAGAGACTGCCATAGTGACAGATACCATGCTTGGTTGGAATTATGAATTTTGAACTGAAATGCTTTTAAGGTATACAGAGCTTAATACTTAATGTTATGTTTCTGTAAAGATGACAAATATCTTCTAAAAGAAAATTAACATGGTCTAATCCCTCTTTGGTATCTGGATTCTGTATCCATCCTGCAGGAGCTGACATGTTAATTCCTATTAAGTAGGATCTGCACTTTCTATGTGGTCCTGGGGCAATTTTTCTTTTTTTATATAAGCTTTTCCATGATAATACAGATTCTTTGAATGTTCCAGTAACTCTTTTAGAGCATGACAGAGCTACTGGAGACTATAGGCAGGTGACAGTGCCGAGCCGAGTCAGCCACTAGATGTGTGTGGTGGAAGTCCTGCCAGTTTTTCCTTGGGCCTGGTGTATTCCTCCTCAAAAGCTGATACAGAGCCTCATGTGTGCCCACTTTCTCTTTCCAAGCTTCTGGGGCAGCAAATTGTCTGGCTTTACTTCCAACACACAGTGCACATCATTGGCAACCATAGCATGGAGGTGGAGTGTTTGCCTCTTCTGGTTCAGCTTCTCTGTCTCTCTTTCTTTTTTCTCTTCCCTGCCCCTCCTTTACTTTCTTGAAATGGCCCTGATGAATTGAGTCTGCTTTATTAAAATTATTTTTTAAAATGCTGAAAATATTTGTATTCAAATCTGTCAGTTATATTTTGAGGGGGGAGGAAATCTAATTTCTGAATGTAAACTAAGTGGGTGCTACAGATAATTAATATGGACTCAATATTTTGATTGAGTGGACCAGATTCAATTTCTTATTAAGCTATATTTTTCTGGTAATTGCCAGACAGTGGCACTACAAATAAAGAACAAAGAACTGCATTGTTTGGCCAGGAACACATGCCTTGTATTTTAGAGTAGGCAGCAAAGGAGCTTGTGAAGAAAGGCTTTTTTTCTGTCTATAGTTATTTTGCTTAAAACAGTAATACAAAGATAACTTGAAAATGTTTTAAATATATATATATATATATATATTCATCACAGTGGATCTGCTTTTGTTTTAGACAAAACTACAAGAATTACTCCATGGAAACAAGGACACATTTCAGGATTCAAGCAGCCCTGCACCAAGCCAAATCCGCCCCAGAAAATGGAATGCACTCTGGAGCCTCAGCAGTGTCGTAACTTTTTCCTCTTTGATGTCCCGTTTGTTGCAAACTTTGGTGCAGAAAATTACTGACACTTTAGAGTTATTTTTCCCTCTCTTTCAAGTCAGTGAAAAGCCAAATAACTTAAAATTTTAAAGGTGATGCATAAAACGTTAATCTCGCGTAACAACATGGCAAAAAACCTCTCAAACCAACCATATAACCCTGAATATTGTTTTTCCAGCAGTGGCTTTTTGAATATTTACATCTGTGTCATTCAGTTTTCAATCGTGTGCCTTTTTCTTGCGTTTGCAACATTATGTTGTAGCTTTGCTTAGCGAGAGAGGGGAACAACTGAAAAAAAAACCCCAAACAACAAAACTTCAGGTTTCATGGATTTAATCTCATTTAGCTCTAAATGTTTGTTTGGATCCATGCTGCCAGCAGTTGAGAAGGAAGCATCGCTTTTTCCCAGTACCTGCGTTGTTGGAACGGTGTGAGAAAACCTCGGTGCACGTGGAACACATCGGGGAGGAGCTCTGGATCCTGGGCGTTTCTAGTTGTGCATGGGAAATTCCCTTTTACCAGCTTTTGCCAGTCACATTTTGCTTCTTTAAAAAACTTGCTGGTGAAAAGAATGGTCTCCCTTATGCTGGTACCTTGACTTTAATTTGGTTTTCCTGTCAAGTCCGCTGCTTCTAGCAGCTGAATAATTTACTGAGGATTGTGGGGGGGAAAGGTGATGACAGTATAAAACTGCATCACTTCTTCCTTGACCACGCAGAGTTCTTAGAAAATGTTTTTGCCACAATGAACATGATCTGAAGTTTATATCAAATTTAAAGCACAAGTCCTTGAAGGTCATTTAAGAAACAACAATATTGCTCTGGCTGCACAGCGATACAGGGGTTCCTGTGACACTCCGTTCTTTAAGATGGGTGTCCTTAGGGCTGCCCAGCTGGAGATGTCCATGTTGAAAGAGGCCAATGCTTCCTGTGTGAAGAAGCTGGGGCTGGAGGAGGTTCCCTTGGTACAAAGGAGCCCTTTGTCTTTTTGCTCTTTATTGATCTTTTGGGAGATTTTCCATGTAACTGGCTTTGGGAGTAGAGCAATGAGCTGGGTCTGCTTTCCAATGCTGGCTGCCATGGAACTGCTGCAAAACTGGTGAAGTCAGTTGCAACACAGCTTTGACTCATATTTATTGTTCTCCAGGCTAGTTCTATGTTTGTAAGCCTATGGGTTTTTGGGGCACACTTCTACCTCCCTTTTGAAAGAGCTTCTTCCCCATGACCCATTCTGATGGGTGGAGATGGGAGGTCTTCTGACAGCCCTTTTTCTCCAATGGAGATGTTTGCCAGGAAGATTCATATCTATGTACCTCACAGTGAATGTCCTTTCTAAAGTGATTGTTCCCAGCAGAAGAGAAAATCAACAGTTTATAGCTCTGCTTTTACCTTCTCTAAGGAAATTACATTGTTTTATAATGGCAAAATAATATGCAAGGAGACAGAACCACCTGTTCCTCAACAAGGAGAACTTGCATTGTCTTAAAAACAGACACCCTTTATAAAAGCCTTTCCAAGTCAAAATCATAGGTGAAGAATGTGTTTTTATAAAGTGACTTTCTCAGATAAATTCAGTTCAGATAAATTTCTCAATTCAGATAAAATTCAGTATAAACAGTTACGCTATTTACGTGCAGCACATCAAAACTTCAGTGTAAAAACTCAGCCATTCTTTGTATAGAATAAAAAAGTTTCTTGTTCTATTATTGCATATAATGCCTCTTTTTCTAGTTGTGTCCTTTTCAAATATTTTTGGCAGCCTTAGCATCTTCTAAGCACGTAATAATGCCATGTGGAAATTAGCATAAATTTTACTTTGCAGAAAGTGAACAATCCTTCTGAGTGTAGATTCATTTCTCAAGGCCACTGAAACCTCTTTGAAATTTCACCCACAACAGAGTTTCCCCTGATCATAGATACACTGCACAAAGGACATACTATGCAATACACAGCCAGCTTCCCTGAGGCTTTGCAGCCATGAAAATCCCAAGATTTTCCTAAGGTTTTCATAGCCTTCAGAAGATTTTCATAGTCAGCTTTGGTTGAACACCAGCACCAGTGACATTGTGGACCTGATCTCCAGCTTCAGCTGAGGACTTGGTAGTTCACTGTGATCTTTCACTCTTTTTGGCTCCCAAGCAAGAGGAAATAGTCACCTTCCTGATGCAACAAGGATTTATGGACTAATAATATGAATTCACTAAAGGAAAGTAGCACTTTGCTTGCTTAAAGGATGAGTGGAAGGTCTGGTACGTTGCCACTGTGTAAGTTTTTCAGTGTGTTACATTTTGAATTGCCCACCATGACTTTGCTCATCAGTTCACTTCATTTGGTGCTCCTCCGTGGTGGGGATCAAGAACTCCGTGGTGTCAGTCTGGGCTGGAAGGTCGATGCTGGGATTGTTTTTCCACTGCTCTTCCTGAGGCTACTGCATTCTGCCTGGAGCAGCTTTCCAGAACAGGGAATTGCTTCATCAGCCTGGAGGTCCTGAGTGCAGTGAATTAGGGAAAGCACAATTGGTGTGAGTTCTCAAACAACCTCAGAGTTCAGTGTGTTCACTTAGTGGAAAATAGCGGATATTCTAATGGAATCACAAATCAGAGACTGGAGCATGGCCTAAGATTCAGGAAATGGAAGCAGTACTGCAGGAGCACTTAATTGCAGAAGGAGCACTACCTTCTGCTTTCAAATGTTGAACTGAGTGATACTTGAGAAACCTCACTGTGTACCAGGCTTTAGCCAACAATTGCCACAATCAGCTCTTCCTGGTCCTCAGCAAAGCCAGAGATGTTACCCAAAGACAAAAATTACTAACCCATATGCCAGAAAAGAGCTCTCTGGACTTGGTAGGACCTTTATCATAAAACCTACAAACTATATTTCTTTTTCTATGTAGTTTTTTTATTAACACTGGTAAGTAGTTTCCTGCCAGTGACCGAGGAGGGGCAGAAATTCATACTCCTGGATGTCTGCAGCAGTGGCCATGTGAGATATTGCTGTCACCTGAAAGTGGTGCTGGGCAGGAAGGGAAAAGCAATGAAATGAGCATCACTTTTATCATTAGATGTGTTATGTGGAATCCCTGTATGTAGGGTCTCTCCTTTAACTGAGGGGGCAGATGAGCTGAAAAGCCAGCAGCTCCCACTGAGGTCTGATGAGGTGCATCTGCATCAACTCCCAGCTCCTGGAAATAAAAGGAGATGAGATATAACCTGTTGGATCAAGAAGGGTGGGCCGAAGCTGAACCTGGTCACAGGTTTTCTCGATGATTAGAAGAGATTTTGATGAAGTCACAAACATGATACAACTACTATTATCTCGAAACACCCACTTATGATTGCTCAACTAAACCAGTGGCATAGGAGCCTGCTTTGATTACTGATATGCAGTTCTATTGTGAACTACAATTAGCACATGCTGTCATGGATGGTTAGTTTAAAGATTGTCCCCTCCTAACTGTGCCTGGCCTCAGGTTGTTTACACATTCAAAACTTGGCTTAGGAAACTGCATTTTATAAAATATAGCAGCATAGAGCAGGATCATATGAAGCATTTCCTCCCATTTCACACTGGTTTTGGAATTAAATTCTATACTGAGTGCCTTGGTATTTTTAGTTATCTGCAGCCTAGGTCCAAGGCTACTAAAAGCTCATGGGCTGACAGCTGTGACAGCTTGTGTGCCTCTGGCAGAACAGAAGGATCAAGCAATGCTCTTCTGTAGGAGACAAGGCTTTCCTAGAGGTCAGCCCCAGAACACAAAAGCACTCCCATGGCTTTAAATACAACACTCAGCCTCCACATGCACCTGCAAGATGCATTTCTTTGCCTTCTTAAGCATAAAAACATGGCAGCAAAGCAAATGTGTATGAAATGACCAAAGCAACACATTCAACTCAGTTCGCCCTCTGGGAGGAAGAGGAGAAGATAAAGAGGTGAGTCATGTTGTTTACTGCTGCACAGGAAAGTGGTTAATGGTTGGCAACGTCACTGATGAACGAGATTGGGAAACCTGAACAGACTAGAAATGAACTTGCTTCTTTTCTCATTATGTTCTGCAAATACATTTTGGTGGTAGATTATGTGCAAAGCGTGTACCAGCAAGTGTTTTAATTGAATGATTTGTCATCTTAAAGCATCTTTAAGATGCTATCTAGGTTTGCTTCAGGTGTTAAAAAAAAAAGTCACAAATACTTTCATTTAAAAACATGCCCAGTCAATCCCTGTCTCCAAGATTTATGAACAGCACAGAGCTAATAAATACCTGCATTGCACTGTGGTAAAGTTCTGCATGGCGTTTGCTCAAATTCAACCATGCCTCTGTAGGACTGGGCTTCGTTATTTTCTGGGGTTTTTAAATCTCTAGACCTACTTACCTTCATTGCTGGCTAAATGTTTATTTAGAATTATGCACTGCAGTGAAGCCTACCTGCTTTCTTTCTCCTTGACTGTTTTACAGAAAGAATACAAAACAGAGCAGTCATAACCCCGTGTGTGTTCTTTATGGGCTGATTCAACTAAAAAAAAAAAAAGAGAGAAAAAAGTTTATCTCGTGTTAGACAAGTACAGCAACAGCAGTTTTAGGTCTGTGGCCTAAAAGTACCATAGTGATGTGGTGAGAAAGAGAAGATAAGTAGAGGCTGCAATATTCTGAGCAGTTTTCCTCTCACTTCCTTTTATCCTGCAGCACACAGGGTGTGGAGGTGAGGAACAACTTGCTTAGTGCAGGAGCTCTACAGGCTGCTTGCCTGCAGTGCTGGAGCCCCGGGGGCCGTGCTTGGTGTCCACAATGTCACAGGTGCAGTTCTACAATGAGCTGGTCCTTGTGAACGTGGTGCTTTTCCTGGGGTTGGTGAAGGTGCTGGTATGAGGTGCCTGAAGCTGCCTCTGCTCCTGTATCTCTGACGGTCAGTGGAGCTCAGTAAATCATTGTGGGGAGGTGAAGCAACTCTGGAGGGTCACAGAACATAGGGATCATGTTCAATGTCATCTTCCTCTGCTGTCATCGCTCCCAAGGTTGCACGGCCTCTGTTGGGCAGCTGCAGATGTTATTTTTAGAAGCAGACATCAGGGCCAGTTAGTGTTTTGGTATTTCAGTCATAGAATGATACAATACCAGGTTGGAAGGGACCTCAGGGTCCAACCTTTCTTGCCAAAAGCCCAGTCCAGGCAAGGTGGCCCAGCACCCAGTCCAGCTGAATCTTAGAAGTGTCCAGTGTTAGGGGATCTAACACGTCTCTGGGGAGATTATTCCAATGGTTTGATTGTTACTGTGAAAAATTTGCTTTGGCTTTTGTTCTTATGGCTTGTGCATACCTGGGTCGTGGGTTAGGTTTCCATTCTCTGATGCTGGGCTCATCACTGGTGCAAATACTTCTTGGTATTTCTAAGGAACAGCAGGAATTCCATGCATGGTGCCTTTGCTAAAGGTCTATCAATGTCTGATCTGTCACACACACACACAGAAAGCATATATAGATATACACAAACCATCTCTGTATGCATACTCACAGTGGTAGCAGGCTCTGTAGCCAAAGCTTTTTGAAAAGTTTGTCTGTCACTGTGCAGTGAGAACCCGACCAAAGTGCATCTGGGGACTAAAAGTGGGGCCAGGAAAAGTGCTCGGTGTGGGCAGCCAGTGATGTGTGTGGTGAATGGAGCATTCACTGTTGTGAGCAGAGGTGTTGAAATGCCTTATTTGAAATAAAGACAAATGTTTTGGAGGGGTTGGTGCTGCAAAGAACAGGTTTATGAAGTTACTGCTGCTTGTTTTCCAACTGAGAGGACAGGGGAGGGCTGGGGGCTCTTTGTGTGCAGTTGGTGTGGCTGGGCCCCTCTTGCTGAGTAAGCACATACCTCTGTGCTGCTGGGAACACAGACAGCCTTTTGCACAAAGAATTTTTTCATTATAGACTCCTCTCTGCAGCTTTTCTTAGCAAAGTATCAGTGCAGAGTGGATGTTGTAATAAATCAGTTGCTAGCATGAAAATGTAGTTATTTCTTTTGCTTAAATCAAAAAGATGCTTTTGCAGAGTATGTTTAAACTGTTCTTTTATCACAAGGCATTAACTTTGCATTTCATACCAAGGCTTCCAAAGCCCTTGAACTCTTATCCCAGAACAGGTTTAAATGTGAGATAATCTGCAAGGGATGGTTAGCATAAATTATATTCTTCAAAGTTAAGTGCTATATAAAAGCAGAAGTTAATCCTTGAAACTAATTTTTATTCTGGGTATTAAGTCAAGAAGGGTTCTTCTGAACAGATCTTATTCATGTGTTTTATAGGTTGTCAGCTAGAATGAATGCTTTTAATAAAATGTGGTGTCTGTAACAAACTGTGTCGATATCAGCTGACATCCACTTTGTTTCTGAGTCCATTTTAATCCAGGATTTAACTGCTGAGAGGCCCTGTACATTTGGTTTCAGCCATGTTGTTACTTATTTCACTGACAGTCTAAAACTCAAAGGAATCTTCATCTTTACCACGATTGCACAAGGACAGGAAATGTCAAAGCCCTGAAACTGTGGCAACTGAAGTAAGTTCAGGTATTTCCTAATCCCTTATCCCAGAAATGTACCCTCCTGCCACTGCAAAAGGACACTGTCAGCCTTCCAAACACGGAATTGCTTTCAGCCCTGGGGAACTGCAGGACTGTAGGAACTTTTAAACCCTTTTGTGGCTCAAGCCCTTCTACACCACCAGCTCCTCACGAAGAAATTCTCTGGGCTGGCTTTTTTTTTGTTTGTTTATGTATTTTATGATTCTCTCCCAGATTTACATAATGAACTGCCAACAGGTAATGAGGATTATCATCCTTAGATGTGAAATGATTAACGTGGTAATTCCTGTAGCATGCAAGAGGCATCTACAAACTCAGGTGGTTGCACACAGTAGCTGTAAGAGGGGTTTTTGTTTTGTTGGTTTTTTCCTTCAAATCACTTTGCAGGCATTTTCCTGTGGGCCTGCCCACCCCAAAACATACAGCCCTGGCATAGGAAGGGCTATGGGTGAAGAGGTTCAGGTGAGTCAGAGCCAGCCCTTCCCAGCAGGCTCTGGTTGGGAAACAGCTGTGCTGTAAATGGACTTAATGTGTTTGAAGTGTGAGTAATTTATTAGACTACTCTGAGACAGGAGGTAAATCATCTTATAGATGGTAGAATTAAGACACAGTTCTGGTTCCACAACTGTAGCTAAAATTAAGGTTATACATTACTTTGCATTAAGTTCAAATCAGTTCTTCTTTGAATTAGAAATCATCCAGAACAGCACTGCACCTAAAAACTTGAAAAATTATTTGATTTATTTGTTATATTTACATATTTGTCTTTAAGGTAAAATTTAAACTTTTTGGAATGTTTTTGTGTAATCTGCTCTAGGTTTAGCCCTTCACACCTTTTTGCTATTTAACAAGTATTTTAATGAAAGGAATTTCTTCCCTTAGCCCAGTAAGTGTATCAGTGTTAAAAGTTCAGCTGTACAGAGTGCCTAGGAAAGCATTCAGCTCAGTAATCCATCACTTCCTTTCTTTTAAATCTTTCTTAATCAAGTCTTGTAATAAATAAAGACTAATACCACCATGACAACACTGGTTTTTTTCAAATTGTTCATTTGCCAGTTTTAACAAGATAAAGAAATGAATACTTAATGTGGACATTGTTATACCAAAAAAAAAAAAAAAAAAAGAACCCAACCCCTGAAACAAACAGACAAAAAAGGAGGACACAAAGGAACACACATGGAATGATGAAAAGGAACAATGATATTGCACAACTTCAGGTCTCTCTTCCCAGATTTTGATCCATGTAATTAAGTATGTATGAATTCAGCAAAACATTGTGTCCAGATAAATAGATAAAAGTGTGGCCATTTGAGTGAATCTGGAACTGCAGAGTGTTTTCAGTTCCTTCTGACTGCTCCTTGGAGTTCTTCTCTAAGGGAGCAGGGTGCTGTCAGCTGCAGGGATAACAAACAAACATGTTGACTCCATTTTGCTGACCAGTTATCCGTAACCTGCACAGTTCTCCTACACTGTAAATGCAGTAAGTCCACAGAGGACTTGGGTTGTTAAACACAACTTTTTGTATCAAGTACTCAAAACTGTAGCTGAAACACAGTCAAGAACATCCCCAATTTGCTGTGGTTAACTTGAGATTGCTTGTCACTATATCAGGGTGGCACTGAATGTATAAAGGTCACAGTAGGTACATCAAGGGGGGGGAAGAAAAAAGGAAAAAAAATCATGCTAAGTGGAAAAAGGTCTTTACAGCTACAATCTTTGCCAGAGCCTCTCTTAACAAGCACATACTGTTTGCTACAGGAACCAGCTAATTGTGTCATTCTGGCTATAGCAGGACTGTTTGCCCCCTCCACTGCTACTCTTGACAGTCTGGGTTTATATAAACTTTGCATTTATGTGCAGAACAAAGTCTAATTCTCTCCTCTATGAGTTCTTTCCTGTTTGGTGGACTGGTGTGTCAGCCAGCAGGGCTCAACAGATACATTTAATACAGGAGACTGAGATACAGTATGTTTATTCTTAACTTCTGATAACCTAAGGACTACAAGAACGAGAGATGCAGTATCCATTTGCTATGATCCAAGACAACCATCTTTAGGGAGAAAAAAGTAGAATAAGTGATCAATACTAACACTACATTAGTTCCAAATATATATATATTTTTTTTTTTCAGTTATGGCAGCTTAACTATTTATTGTTCATCCGGCCCACTTTTAATGTGATCAAGTTAAAGGTCACATATTAAAGTTTAAGGACTGTTATTTCATCAAAACCAAAGGAAGTTATAAAAACCCATGAAACCATAGTTTCACTGTAGGTCTTATATCTTCATATTCTGTATCACTAGTAGAAAAGGGATAATGCATCTCAGTTTGCTTACAAGCTAGGAGATCACTTTGAAGTCTGCATATTCCTAACTGCAAACAAAATATAGCACTTTTAACAGGTTATAAATAAACTGGTTTTCAAGCATAGAGCCAGCCCAACAATAACAATACACTATTAAAAAGACCTAAGGCAATGAATTCCATCTCCAATGAAAAAAAAAAAAAAGAAAAAGAACTGTGCAAACAAGCTTAAAACTATTTCTTTGTGCCAGTGTTATAAAATGTAGATTTCAATAAAGCCTTGACCCAAATGCCAGGACTTGTGAAAAGAATCAGAACAAAACTGGTTACTTTATTTAGGAAAAAAATACTCTTATCTTGCTGCTAATAAAATTGGATACACGCAGTTTAAACATTTACAGTTGCTGTAACACTTTACACAATTCCTATATATGGGTGTAAGAACAAACATTAAAAGACAATGGTGGGTCAAGGCTTTACATTAAAAATAACAACCTACTTTTCTATAGTCTCTAAAATACTATGTTTTCCAATATTTGCAGCCATTCAGGAATATTTTTTTTTATTTATTTATTAGGAAATGTATACTTTGTGCATGATCTTAATTCCTAATTCCTGGCTCTTTGGGCTGAATGACAAAAGGATCAAACCCATTGAAGTGGATGGTCTCCTTGGAGGTTCAGTAGAGAAACCCTGGCTCAGTTAGTCTCATACGATGAAAGCAGTGCTGCATCCACTGGCTCCATGCAGGATGGACAGGTAAAGGATCTCATCAACCAGTCATCTATACAGTCCAGGTGGTAAATGTGCATGCACGGCAGAAATCGGATAGGGTCCCCATAAACAAAGTCCATCATACAAATGACACATCTGGGGGGGGAAAAAAAAATAAAATATTGAAGCTGCTGTTACCAAACTGGAAATGAAAAATAGTGTACTATCTACTCCTGGATGACTTTAGTATTTGTAGATACTGTGAGGAGTATCCTTGCATAGGAGAAAGGCAAGAGCCTTAGAATAACAGAATAGTTTGGGTTGCAAGGGACCTTAAAGCTCATTGAATTCCACCCCACTGTCACAGGCGGGGATGCCACTCATAACATCAGCCTTCTGCATGGCCATTTCCTTTTTCAGAAAGCTACGTTAAACTACAGCCCCTGAAAAGAAGGCAGAAACAGAATGGCAAGATCAGGTTTCCCAGGGCAGTGTCACAAAGCAAGGCAACAGCCACGTGTGACTGGGACTTACTCTCTGATCTTCTTTTCGGAGCCGTCTCTCCCGGGATCATAGACTCCTTTAGGTAGGTGCTGGATAAGGCCTATCCGCTGCGCTATCCGGATCTGCTCTTCTTCTGTCAGCTGTGTGGCCAGCCGGGTCTGGCTTGGAGTTGGGTGATACACAGGAACAGGGACCTGCTCCTAAAATTAAAATATTTCCGTTAAAAACTACCACAGAGGCTTTCCTACCGTTTCATAGCACAGAACTCGGCATTCAATTTTTCCTCTCTTAGTCCTACAAATATTCGTATGAACTCCCACTCCTACTTTGCAATTTTGGGGCTATAATTATACTGAGAATGGGATAAAGAATTGAGGCCAGTATTTGAGCAAGGAGCTGCTCGTGGTTGTTCTCTGCAAATGCTTTTGATCTCAAGGAATTGCTCATACATGAGATACCCGGACAACAAACTGCACGTGCCAGCAGGCAAATAAACCTTACAGGGACCTGGTAAACTGCTGTGGTAGGGAACTGAACAACATAAGGGCTGAGGGAGAGCCCCCAGCATGTGCAACAAAAAGCAGAATCTATGGGGTTTTTTTTTTACATTTAGGAAGAACTGTTTGCTTAGATGAGGGTACTGCCTACTCTTAAGTTTTAGAAAGGAAGGTTTTATTTGTTTAGTAATGACTAAAATTTACGTGAGCTGTTCTGGGCCACATAAGGTCCAATCCAGAACTGTAGATTCAATTCTTGTGGGTTAAAAAAATGTCACCTGAACAATAAGAAGAATAGCTTAAGTAAGTAACCCAAGTTTTAAATTTCTTCTCATATATTAATATAATTTTATGGGTTCTCCCAAGCTGGACTTCAACTGCTGAAATGCTTAAGGTATATATTTTCCGAAGAAAATTTAGGCAATGTATAGCTATTATGCAGTCCTTCCTCTACCACATTCTCAGAAGTTTCTTTTGAATATTAATGAACTTTAGGTCAGATATTTTCACTGACATTTATATCAACATGGTACTTAATTTACTTGCTTTTAAAGCATTTTTTGATACATAAATACCAATTTTTAACACGATACATTATTAGGACAGTATTGGCCAGTAGCCATAAATCTGCTGTTAACAGGGAGACAATTTCAACAGGGAGACAATTTCTTGCAAAAGGTCTATTTTGATGGTACTTCTTAAACAGCAGAAAAAAACTTCAACTTATAGATGTGTCTGAAAATAAACCTGCTGCATCAGAGACACACTGATTAATCTGTTTGGAAAGTGCAAAAGCTGATGTTTCAGAGGACACTGCTGCAGGCCAAGCAGAGAGCAGGAGTGTGTGCGGCTGTTCTGGTCACCTCCGACCGCTCTCCCATTGCCCGCTTGCTCCCTCATCACTGATGTGGGGGACACACGGGATTTCACTGTCTGACAGAGTAACCACCTTCCAAAACATGCATGTCCTTCCAGAGCACGGGCCACCATGGGCACCTCCAGATATTCCCAGCAGGAACACGGCTGTGTTCCCCTCTCCTGTGCCCTCTGCCTCCTGCTCTGGCAATGCTCAGTGTTCACCCGTCACCAACACCCGGCACAGCCCAGCTGTGAGTTTAACACTGCGCTTGGAAAACCCGATAAAGCCATTCTTATTTCACTCTTGGGGTGCACTGGAAGTGGACAGTCAGCTTCCAGACTCCTGGAAGGCCAGGAGAAAGCTGCCCGAGGAGTGTGCAGCCTCTCACCAGTGCCGCCCAACAGCAAAGTCCTTGCTCATGAGAAATGCTAATCACAGATACAAGTCTGCCTGGCAATTCTTCACTGAACACTGTGCATGCCACTGGCAATTCAGCTGTGGGGTAGAATCCACAATCTTCTCTTAATTTAGCTACACTAGGATTTCCCCCTCTGATTTCCTGGCAGAACTCAGAGGAATTATGAGAAGGTTCAAAAGATAGAACACGCCAGGGGTTCTCCAAGTGATTAATTTCCCGACTACTCTAAACCGTATTTCACAGAACTCTTTTTAGATCAGCTGACTTTTAGTGCTTTAAATTCTCTAAAGTATTCTCTAATCATCATTTGGATAGAGAAAAGCACCAGCTGAACCTACAGATGACCTGTCAGATATAAAGCATTCAGAAAGTGACTGCATCCTTTGGTGCCTGCAAAATAAAGCATTTTTCCCCTCACAAATGCTGCCGATCCTCTGTGCTGAACACATGAGCTCGAGGCAGAACCCGGTCCTGGTTTTATGTTTCAAGAACTTAACACCACAAATTCTCAGTAACTTTTTTTTCCGGGGCTTTGCTGTACTTCTTTGAACAGGTTATTAAATCAATAGCAGAAAGCATTACTGCTTCCTCCTTTATTTGTGACACAGATGTAGAGAACGCTCAGCATTTGGAGAGAGATGCACCCCTCCTTCATGTCTTGGAAAAAAAAAGAGGAGCAGTATAACTAATGACAGGCACAGCACAGGCTGGTGCCAACATGGGTAGGACGGGAGGCAACAGCTCCCCTTGCCCAAACCAGGGCTGCAAGTCATAGTGCAGGAAAGGCAAACACAGGAGGGGGGAAAAAAGGAGGAATAAAGATCCAAAAACCCCTCAAAATGTCTGAAAGTAGCAACAGCAACTGATAGTGAATGTCTGTACCAGAACAACAGCAAATTGATCACCTCGGTAAACATTATACAGCAAAAGGGAACTACAATTAAATAAGAATCTGTTGTGAGTTAGAACAATTACATCTGGACAGCTCTGAAGTAAGCAATCAGTCAGCTACCCAACCGACCATGGCTTTGGTTAAGTTTGGGAGAGTGAATAACATAACTTCTAAACCTGTGATAGGCCAGACAAGAACAAAATCTCATTCTAGTCTTTTACAGGCACTTTCTGCGAGTGACCACCAAGGGACCATGTACTTGGGGAACCCGCTTCTGCATTATTGCAAAGCCTCTCTGCCCTGGGTGTTCCTTGCAAAGACCTGAAGGGAGGCCTGAAGGACCACTTGGGCCCCTTTCCCCTGCCAAATACACAAATGCTTTCTCCCCACGGCCAGTGCTGCATGGAAACACTCCTCCCTCAGGCATCCTGTCTCAGGTTCCCTCCCAGCAGAGCTGCCCTATGCTACATGTCTGACATGGCCCATTAAGGCGGGAATTTATAGTTGCCAGCTGTGGGCTTCTACAATTTCACATGCTAGACAAGAATCTCCTGTCAGATGAGTAACTGGGTGGAAATGGTGGTGTTGCCATGACGTCTTCATGCTTTGAAGGCAGAAAACTGGGGTTGGTGTGGCTGCTCTGAAAAACGTGTAAGGTAGTCCTGTAAATAAACCCGAGTGGCCGCTCCATGCCCAGGCACTGAACATGCTGTTTGCTGGCACTTTCATCTCACTCCCAATTGCTATTAAAAGCCTGCCCAAACTGAGCCCTGGACACAAACATACCAGGAAAATGGAAGAACACAGCTGCACACGTTGCAGTGTCACATTATAGACTACATGGACACTGACCCTTTCAAAGGGTCTTCTCCCCTCCAGCAGGTCAAAAAAAAAGGTGTGTTCGTACCTTTGTGATTCTAAAAATACTTTATTATTCATGAGAATCTGAGAGCCCAGATTTCTCTGACTGAGAAGTGGACATCCCCAGAGGGATCAAAGTAAGAGATGGAGCATGAAGTGCTCCCTCAACAGATCCTGATGACCCCCCACCAGCTGAGCTGGGCTCCTTCAGCCCTGCTGGCACACCCCCAGGCTGGCCCCGCTCGCAGCCATCGCCCCTCACCACGCTGGCAGCTGCATCCTTGGGTTTCTCCACTACCAAATCTCTGGAGCGTTTTTGGAAGTTAAGCTCATCCGACAATAATTCCAAGCTGCCCGTAAGGCCGGAGTGCAACCCTCCTCACAGTCTGCGAGGGTTTATCACCCCTCTGCAAATCTTTCACAGTGTGTAAAGGCTGCTTTCGTCAACCCACATTAAGGCAAGGTCCTGCTCACTCCAGTGCGGGTGTTCAAGGGTAACAACGTGAGGATTCCCCACTTCAGCCAGCTCACATTTGTAGCTAGAGGCCCCTTGACATGTATATATATAAAAAAAGACTGTATTACCCAAGTGATTATTATTTTACTGCAAAGACGAGCACGAAATTTATTGCTCTGGTGTCTCATATTTCCCTTATCAACCATGGAAAATGTTTTTTACAGACAAAATTACGAAATACTGAACTTCTAGCCAAAGTCTGTGTTATTTATCATTTGATATAGATGTCAGGCACTTCAAACCAAAGATGAAATTTCATGCTAACTCTATTACTATATGCAAAAAAACCCCTAACTCAGGCCAAAACAAATAATCAAACCCACATATTACTGTTGGGCAATGAAAGAAAAATCACTTTCTGGCCCTTAATTTGCTTTAATCATTATTTTTTTCCCATATGAATCTAGTAATGATTAACCACCTCAGATGGCCATAGTCCTAGAGATACACAACTTTCTTCTTGTTCACAAAGTCAGTGGTGTCAGCACAAGTTTCCCTGGCTTTCTGTGCACAGAAATCATTCACTCCCAATGTTTATTCGGCCCTTAAAAACAGCGGCATTAATTTAGGCTCAAGGACTAGAGCAGGGTTTGTGTTTCCATCTCACCCTGGCTCCTCCTCCTTCAGGGGGGAGAAATTATAGAGGGCATCTGGAGGTCTGCATTTTTCACTCCTAATGGAAATAAACATTTTCACACATGGCTTAAAAGGCCCAGCCACTTTCTATGTGCAGATTCCCAAGCACGCTTTGGGTTCTCGACTAGAAAAAAGGTTTCATCAAGCATGATTTTCAGTTTTAAGTTTCCTCATCAATGCAACCTACCTTGGTTACTTATGCTGCCATAAATCTGCTTTTTCCCTTGTTTTATAGTCTTTTTGTCTTGTTTTTGCAAGTGCCATGAATTTGTAATACTCTGAAAACAGGTCAGTGCTAGATCAGAAACTCTTAATCCCTGGATAAAGATTATTTTAAGATCCCTCTACGCCACATATCAGCAGTATGTTATCAGGGCTTTTGTCTGTTTGTTGTTTTTAGAATTGCACCAACATGCACAAATTATCCTTTCAGGACGGTCAAAGGTGAGATGAATAATTTATAACATCTAATAGTTCTAGAGGTTAAAGCTTCACTGCTGTCCCCAAGATCCTGCCTACA